GGTGCGAGGAAGACGACAGGAGGGTTGTTTTGTCACTATAACGAAATCACTGCTATCTGTTGCCTCACTAGAATCTTTTTCTTTTTGTGGGACTTTAACAAGGAATCTATCCAATGACGACCGCTTTTGCCTCCTTTTCGATTTCGCGGAAATGTGGACATTGCATTGTCATTAAACAGATTCATCACTTGCACTGCTACGCCCTTATTCGGGTGGTGCTTTTCTACTAAATTTTGACTATACGAGTGAGGTACGCCAACTGAGACCGAGCATGGGAAACGATTACCCACAATCCCGCAACGAGAGAGAGAGAGAAGTACCATCGGCTCAGTTGTGATCACGTGACGCTAGGCAGACAAAGCGTATACGTAATACTCATATTGCAAGACCTCACTCGTTTATCATTTTAAAATTTTGCTCGTCTTGCAAAGCACTCGCAAACCAAGTTACTCGCAGTCCGAGGTTTGACTGTACTTCCTTGTAAAGACATTATTTCCAAACATACAAAAATTTTATAAAAATTTAGTCTGGCTTAATTTTCTAATGCCTTAGTATTTTTTCAAATAGTCTTAATTGCTTTTTATTAAAAATACTTTGAAGAAACCATTTAACTGGCATTATTGGTAATTGTCAGGGGATTTGGATTAGGTATGTCTGTAAGAGAGGGAGAGTGTTGGGTGTGTGCATGAGAGTAGGCTGACCAGATAATCCATGTCAGGGAGGACACTTCAACCTACTCCAGGTTTTACAAACTACTTTAAAACTGAAAGGCACCGGTGCTTGGCTAAATAGCTCACTTCTTCTTGTGCTTTGACTGGTTTGATTGAAAAACTCATCCAGCTGTTACACATTAACATTGGTGGCATATGCATGATTATAGGAGACTGGCCAATCAGCACACAGCAAGAACTTGGTGCTTAACTGAGATCCAGCTCCTTTAAATTGAAATGGTACTTTACAAATCCTGTCCTAGCTCAATGTGTCCTCCCTGACATGGATTATCTGGTCATCCCATGTGCGAGAGAGGGAAGGGGCTTAGGTTTGTATATTTGTGTTAGAGAGGAGTATTTGCTTTGTTTCTATATGTGAGAGGGATTGGGAATCGGGTGTTTGTGTGTTGGAGACCGATATGATAAACTTCCTTAGAAGAAGCAGGGAAGACAGGCTTTGAAAAAGCTAAGCTGATATTTATAGTCACTAGGGCCATTGATTATTTGTTCTCCTGTAACGGTTGTCTTTAATGTATAACTGGCCTGTGGTTTATTTTATGTGGCTAGTGATCGATATTTTTTGCCTCTGTCCTTTTCTGGTTTGATTCAGTCTGGCAAACTATGAAGTAAACATTTAAAGCCTCTTCCCTCTCTCTCATGCACACCTAACACTCCCCTTCTCTTACCAGCATACTTATCCAAATCCCACGCTTTATGTTACTGAAATAACGTAATCCAAAGCAACACTTTATGTTATTGAAATAATCTCCAGCTGTTTTAGGACCAATAGAAGTGTTATTGAAAAACAAGGTTAGTGTCTTCAGCCTTGTAGTAACTCTGTAACCTTGTTGGAATCAGCAAGAATGCCAAAGATTGCCTCTTGAAAGAGCCAGATCAGCACTTATAGGGAAGGTCCCAATATAGGTGGAGGGGTGGAGAGGTGGAGGGGGGGCACCACATGGGCGGTTGTGTCAGAGCAAGCAAGAGCAACAGGGAGATGGACATCGTTCTCCAAGCTAATCTATGTGGGACCCCGGCTATGTGAACTCTGGTGTATGAGGAGGTTGAAGGTCTGGGTCGGTCATTGAAGGATGACAATTTTCACGAAGACTGATGGGAAAGGACAACAACAACAGGTAAGTGGCTCCAAATACTCCTACAAATTTTGCATTTTACATAGTTGTATATCTTCCTGTTTTTCAAATAGTTGTTTTTTGTGTTTAATCTATAATAAATTATGTAGCGTAGTTTGGTGTCATGATACCCTGAGAATATTGAGTTACTGGGTTGAGTTATTGGGTGTCCATTCATCTCCTTACAAATAGCAATTAATAATTAATGGTAAATTTGGAGATTGGAATCTCTATCACAAAACGAAACAAACCTTAGCCCCTGATTAATATGTCCATAAGTTATAAATCTAAGGCATTTCCCTGTAAAACTACCTACACAACTCAGAGGGCCAATAACCTGGGTTTAGGTGTCCTATTAAAAAGTGGCATTTGTGAACCAAAGGTCAAGTCATACAATGGAAGTTTTTACTGGAGTGCAAGTGTAATTTCAGATGGAAATAAAAATGGAAGGAGAGATAAATATAGCCATACAGAAAACAGGATGATGGTGAGTGAAAATAAATTTTAGTTAAAATATTAATGCCAGTTGTGAAGCAAGCTTACCTAAAGGAGCGGGACAGGGTCCAAGGGATAATTAGGTGAGTGAGCAGATAGCTGGATGAATGGGAACACATTAAGAACGTGTTACTTATTTAAGAGGTAATGGAGTGAGAGGGACTGAATCAGCAACATACAATCACGCTGGTCAAAAAAAACATCTCTGTGGATTGTGTAATGGAGGAGAGACTGAGGAACAAAAGTGGTCTGAATGTTAAGCATAGAATGACAGGAGAAATAGCTGGAGTGAAGACTGAGTCATCCAAGTTTGTGTATTTGATCACTGTAATGAGAGGACTGTGCAAACAGCACTGAACTCTGGCTGTAGGGGTCATGGACCTAGACAACGTCATAGAACTATGAAGTGAATCTCAACCTTCCTGAGATGTGTAAATATATTTAAGTCATGAAATGCATCACAAGACATGTAATGTAGGCTGAGCTGAATTTCCACTTGTGCATGATACCGATCAAATGAACATGCTTCAGGATTTGGATTATGACTGTGTCTGACAGCTGCAGAATTTTTTAAAGACTTATCATTAAATTAGAATAAACCCATGCTGTCTTTACAGAGGCTGAAGGCTGGTTTTTAACACTGCAGTATCAGTAATAATACCCTCTGAAGACCCAGGGAGTTTGGAACTGTGGAACAATTCACCGAAGGTAGCGGGAGGCATGAAGACCAGAAAAGAATGAAAGGAAGATCATAAAATGAGATGTATCAGCAAGAGAAACTACCAATATTAGGATGGATATCAGTATAACCCAGCCTGCAGAGGTTGCAGGGGCCAACACTTCCCTCACTCCCACTCTCCTCACATCCTCTTGCAATATTGATGAGTCCTATAAATACATCTTCCTCCCTCTATGTTACTCCTTCACCTTCATCTTTAGCCTCTCCCTCAACTCGGTGGTTCTCTACCGCTCCTTCCGCCACACCAGACGCTGGAATACCTCGCTCATCTACATGGTCAACCTAGCCTCCACAGACCTGATGTATGGGCTATCACTGCCCTTCCTGGTGGCCAGCTACATCATGCGGGACCACTGGGTCTTTGGGGACTTCATGTGCCGCCTTGTGCGCTTCCTCTTCTATTTCAACCTGTACTGCAGCATCTTCTTCCTCACCTGCATCTCCGTTCATCGCTACCTGGGTATTTGCCACCCAATGAGGATTGTCACCATGGAGAACAAGCGGGCAGTTAAGGGTACCTGTGCCATAGTCTGGGCTGTGGTCTTCATCCTGACCAGTCCAATCTTCCGCTTTGCACAAACAGGGTATGTTGTTCGGGCAGCTCAAGGGAACCAGGGAGGAGTCAATGCCGGGGAGCCAGAAACCTTCCTGAATTGCTGGGATGATGCTATTGATGAGGAATTCTCTGAGTATGTCCCCTATGGGATCATCCTTCATGTGCTTGGCTTCTTTATCCCCTTTGTTGTCATTGCTTGGTGCTATTCACATGTGGTCCTGACAATATTTCGGACCTTGCACCTGACTCCCCAGGTAGAACAAGGTGTGGCTGGAATAGAGAGCAATGGGAGACAGGAAAGGATGTCTGTGGCTTCTGGGCAGTCCCCCTATGTGCACCGCCGGCGTAAATCTATCAAAACTATTGTCACCATCACCATTCTGTTTTCTTTGTGCTTCCTGCCTTTCCATATCACCCGTACACTCTTCCTGGTGCTGAAGGAGCTAAAGAATGTCCATTGCTACAACATGCGTATGGTTTCCATTTGCTACAAGGTCACTCGGCCACTGGCCTCTTTTAATGCCTGGCTCAACGCTCTGCTATACTTCCTCACTAAAGACAAGGGGCCACCCTGTTGTCCACGCCCGGACCCCAATCACCACCGTGACCTCCTCTGGCCTCTGAGGACACTAGGGAGAGCAGGGGATGGGGATGAGGTTGGAGGAGCTGAACCAACACCAGACAAGGAAAACGAGTCTAAGTCTACCCGTATTTGCTTGGAAGAATTTGAAGGAAACCAGTGAGACTGCCTGGCTATTGGCTGCACATTGGATACAAGGCTAACTGTGTAGAAGAGTCATGAGGAATTCCGATGACTTTTCAAATAATTGTTCAGTTGTTGGCACTCATTTCAAAACGTGCGATTTAACTGGTCAGTCTAACAGTCACAAACACACTTGATGTTGAGTATGCCTGGAATCCCAATGACCAAATACAATGGTCACTGAACATGGCACAGGCATTGGTGAAATCTGACAGTATTAGGTAGATATGGGGTGACAACCTCTCCAGTTGGACAGTTCTTTAAATAACTTCATGCAATGCACTTAACTCCTTTTGAATTTCCTTATGACGTAATGCACTTTCTTGAATCTTAATCCAACCCTGTACTCCGTTTCTTTTCTGGCTGCTGTTGAGATTTGGTATAAAATAAATAATTACCTCCTGTTTGGTTGACTTGTGTCTGTTTTGTGCAAGCTGGCTCACAAGCAGAATAGTCTGTGTGCATGTCATGTGGTCAGAACATAAAGCGCTTACTAAAGACATTCACCATCTTTAACCATCAACTACACAAATACACTACTGGAAATGGGACTTTAAAAACATTATAAAGTGTACAATGGAGCAATGTCACAGATATCACAAACAGGTAACTAGCAAAAATTAATTAGTGAAAGTGATTAGTTGTCATTATTGACACACCACAACAAAATGCATCCTCTGCATTTAACCCATATGTGACATAGCAGGGGGCAGCTACTGTAATTCAGCACCCAGGGGGCAGTACTTTGTTCAAAGGTATCTCAGTGGTACCTTGCTGGTCAGGGGGTCAAACCAGCAGTCTTTTGATTATAAGGGCACTTCCCTAACTATTAGGCCACCACAGCACTTAAAGCTGCTTATTACAAATTATTTCCATGGGTCCATAATAGACCTTCCTGCCATCACCCAACCAGTCAACACATCCTAAACAACAACATGGGTATTACAACAGTATTATAGCATGGAAAAAAAATATGACTGTGTAGAACATCAGAAGATATTGTTCTAAATCACATCTGATCATCTGCTGTGATAGAGGACAAGCGTGTTGGAGGCAGGCTGAGAAATTAAACCATGATTGGTGTAGGTTAGTAGCTCCTGCTTGGATTTAACTTTCCCTGACAAATAAATTTTACATTTAAATTTATGGCATTTGGCAGATGCCCATAGCCAGAGCGACTTACATAAATGCATAGAAGTCTCATTAGTGAATACATTCTGATGCTGGTTCAATACAACCTGGCCAAGAATACTAGTACTCTAAAAAATTCTGTTGGCAAGTAATTTTTTGTTTTTGCTTAATAAGAGTAAAATAACAGAATTCGAAAACAGCATTGACACAATAGGTTGAACACTATGGAATCTCTGAACACAATGTCATCAAGGAGAAAGCCTTGTTCACATTCATTCATAAAGCAACCTCCTCTGCTTTGACATCATTATACTCAGTCATTAAAAATGTACACACTACCCTGCCCACCCATCATTTTATTGCCTCACAGGGTGCAAGACTTTAAGATGTGATGATGTTGCAAGGTAAACTGGTCCAGTAAGTAGTTGTTTCCCTTTCCGATTTCTTTTTAATAGCTGATGGCTTAACGATCCATGGAGACCTTGACTACAGATAATATTGTTGCCATTACAACCCCCATATAAATGATTAATCATGACATCCCCTTTGCAAAACTTCAGTTCCTTCCTATGAAATAGCTTTTAATCAATGACCTGAAGCATAATTTGAAAGAAGAACAGAGTACTAGCTGCATTCCAACACAGTATATTAATACTAAGCTTCGCTCAGCCATAAGGGGCAGAATACTGTATACTATCATGTACTATGATATAAACAACAAGATTCTGGAACAATTAGGCCCTCAAATTTAAGGGCAGCGTGTGGCTCAGTGGGCTAAGCCTTTGTGCCTGTAATCACAAGGTCACTGGTTCAAACCCAGCCTCAGCACGTCTGCAGGTCCTTGAGCAAGACCCTTAACCCCCAGCTCCCTGGGCGCCCCAACAGGTGGCTGCCCTTCGCAGACAACTTACTCTACAAAGAGCAAGTTGAGGGAGTCATAAAAACAATTTCCCCACAGGGATCAATAAAGTATCAATTATTAATAAATGGTATAGGCTGCTGTCACTACTTTGTTGTATTGATCACTACAACAGTGTTTGGACAAAACAGATATGACGCATGAAAAACAACAAGGAGTTACAGTTGAGGCCAAAAGTTTACAAACATCTAAGCTAAATACCTTCAGACTTAATGTTTTACAACTCCACGCATTATGTCAGCATATCTTTCCTGTGTAAAGTCAATCAGGGTATCAACTTTACTTCCGTAAGAGGCAACATTAAAATAATAACTAAAAGACAGATTTATTCCTGAATTTATTTGCTATATCAGATTTTCGGTGGGTCAAAAGTTAAACATATACCACGCAGAATGTCTCTTTTAAACAGTGTGGAAGATTCCAGAAATTATGAGTTGATCATTATTTTAATTATGAGTTCAATGAGAGTCAACATATGGCTATATTAAAAGGCTTGACTGAACTCCAAGATAATCACAAAGGAAATGGCAAAGGAAGTAGCAGCATAAAGTATTGAAGTATTTACATCCACCATGAAGGGCTATCTTAATCACCATGGTCGGAAGTGTTTAGCCACAATGATCTACGCTATGTGTGGAGAAAGGAGGGTGTCTTTTAAGCCAGAGAACATCATTACACCTATGGAGTATGGTGATGACAGCAGCATGTTGTAGTGGTGTTTGTTGGAAATGGGACTAGTGCCCTTCATGAGGATGGAGGATTATCCAAAAATTCTGAAGCAACACCTTAAGACATCTGACATAAGAAGCTGAAACTTGATCATGACTTCATCTTCCAGTAGCACTATGATGCTAAACATACTTCCAGTGATGTAACAAAATGGCTTAGAGACAACAAAGTGAAAGTATTGGAGTGGCCATGACAAAACGCTGACCTGAATCCCATTGAACATTTATGGGCTGATCTAAAAAAGGATTTCTGAGCAAGGGGCCCACAAACCTAACTGATGCACACTAGTTTTGCCAGGAGGAATGGACAAATATTCTGGCAATGTATTGTGAGAAGCTGGTGGCTGGCTATCCTAGGCAATAGATTGAAGTTATGCAATTAAAAGGCAATGCCACCAAATACTAACATGAAATCTTTTGACCCACTGGAAATCTGATCTAGTAAATAAAAGCTGAAATAAATCTTTATTATTTTGAGATCACGTCTTATAGAAATAAAGAAGATACCCTAATTCACTTAGTACGGGAAATACATATTATTAAAACATGCATGGAGTTCTGAAACATTGAGTTTGAAAGCCTAGATGTATGTAAATGTTTAGCCTCAACTGTATATTTGGTTGAACACCAATTAGCAGTATGTGTCAGCTATAAAAATGTCTGACAATCAGCATTTTCAAAGTCCCTTACACACACAATAGTTCATTCAAATGCCTTACACAGTCACCTCAATCATCTTTCATGGATTAAAGAACTGTAGGATTTTCTCAGTCAAGAATGGTCAAGTATCTGACTACATACACGTCAATACTTGCTTGACAGCATGGAGGGCTGAAGTTGTTCAGTTTTAAATCCCATATATTGTTATATTAATACATTGTAATACATTCTCTTCTGTATATTTCTCAACCTTTATCTGCCAGTGATAACCACAAGTAATTGAGTAAAATACACCAGCCAGTGAGATTCATGATTAGGCTTCAGTAACCTATATATTCAAACTATTTAAAACGGGCAAAAATTCAATACAAGTTCTGAAAAGCCCCGGCCACATATGGTACAGTGGGATCTGTCCAGTTGCAGACTCCTGCTGTAGTGTACATGACCTGTCATGGATCTGTTCGGGGGGGTTATTACTTTTTCTAACAGAAATAGAAACTATTACACTATTAGCAATGTAATTATTGTACATTGCTAATATCGATTTAATTTAAAGAAAAAGTATATTTGCTGGAATACATTTTGATAATGACATTCAGTAAAAATCTACAATGAAAAATAGTTTAAATGTTGTCTTACATCTACCCTTGTTAACCATTTACCAGTACTGGATTGTAGTGCAATTCTTGGAATGACCACAGAATACATTTCATGTATCCACTGGATCTTGGTAAACTTGAGTTTTATCTACCAAACACCAGCTACACATATTGCTGGACTTTTAACGAGTCTGGTGTTTATTCGTTTATTTTACAAATTTTCCACGCAAAGCAGCCACAAGGTCCCTGCATCCTGCCATTAACAGGTGTGTTTTGCTATGGACCTACAGCTCCGTTTCACTCCCTTACCTCCTTTCATTTTGCTGAATCTCTCCTAAACTGCAGTATCCGCAGCGACCTCTGCGAGGCGCTGTTAGACGCCACACTGGAAAGAATACAATTTTCCGCGCACTATGTAACTATTTTAATTAACGGTTTAATGCTTTGGAGAAACGATTATCTGTTGAGTTGGGTTTATAGGGAAAGTAAAGTGACGTTTACTCGTTTTCATTGCCCGCTTGGCTAGCGGCTTTTGCCGTGGTGAATGTAGTGGCACTTTGCGGAAGCGGGGTAATTTCTACCACTGCCTATAATGCGCGAAAGTACAGTGTCAGATGTCCAAAGTTGTTGATCTACAGGTTATTCAGACGTACTTCGAAGGCAGTGCTGCTGGAAACTTCATTATAGCGGAAACTGAATAGCTTAGGTTAGACGGTAGTTTTGGCGAATTAGTTCAACTGGTCGCCTTACAGCCACCGTTTTGTGCAGCTGGCAAATGCGCAGTCTTCCTTTCCATATCTAGTTCATGGTTCTTTACGACCAGGAAAGTTTTTAACCTTAGTACGGAAGCTACCTCGATAAAAACAATGCGATAAAAGAGCTGTAATGAGGTACGCGTCCCTCTAGTTTTCTGGTTCAGGTTTGGACCAAAGTCCGGTGTGAGGCCTGCAGGTCGGGCTTTCACCGGACTAAAGTAGCTCAACTCGCCGAGCTTCAGAGCCGCTGATTCAGCTGACAGAAACTAAGGCAAGTCAGAATGGAAGGGATGGAAGTGGACCAGTGCGCAGGCGCAACGGCTGGCAACGGAGGCGGGTTTCTACGTAGGTCCAACAGCGCTCCCATGATCAGCGGTGTCAGGTGAGGGAACTACACGCTTCTATCTGAAAACCTCATTCATACACTGTCCACTTAAGTCATTCTGTTCCTGTTTCCTATCATGTTGTCACCCCTGTAGTGATGGATTGATGGTGTTCAGCCCTATTAGCTCAACTCGCCATCGCCGGAGCAGCATATCTGTGAACCCAAGCTTTCCTGTGAGGGTCAGTTTGATTGCTTGTGTGTTTCTGCCTTTGACTAGACTGGTGAGGCATGTTAACATTCTAATGTACTTATCTATCCCAGTATTTCCCACTCTGGTCTTGCAGACAGTCCATATTTTTACTCACAAGGAGTTACGAGGGAGCAAAAATGTGGACTGTCTGGTAGGGAGCTGGGAGGGAGCAAAAACATGGACCGTCTGGGGGTTCCCGATGACCAGGTTGGGAAACACTGGTCTATGCACATAAGTGTCTTGTTGATTGCGATTTTGTGTATGCCATGTTACAGTTCTCTGTTTCACACACTAGCTGGAAAATAATAAACATTGTCTTTCTGTTGTAGAGTCTTCCACAGTCTTCATTCTCTCTGGTTAGTGAGAAGCCAGACCCAAAGAGGCAGGTAAGAATGGACATGTGTGGTCATTCAGGGAATATGTGTGTCTCTGTGTTTTTCTGTCATTATTATGAGGACAATGGAGAAATTAGCCAGTCCAGATAAAAACATAAAGTATGATTCTAAGAAGTATGAATATAGTATTATGGATTCATACGTGTTGCACCACATTGTGATACTAAATCACATCATCTTCCAATGACTTATTCTTTTGGGAGTGCAGCCTATCCTTGGCAGAATAAGGCACAAAATAGGGTACATCCTGCAGGGGAAAATAATAGTACAGAAGATGAATAAATGCAGAAACAAATGAAACAGTTAATTATAATTTTTGTAATTATGGCCTTAAGTATTTACAGTGTTGCCTTGTATTTTGTTTTTTAATTTACTCATTTTATGTCATCAGTACTTCCCTGTGGTCTTTATATTTATAGAAATCATTATTGTAATCAAGTTTCGCTTAAGGGTGATAATTTTTAGTTTTCATGTCGAAGTAAAGCTTATGCATAAAATCTTTGCTTGTGACAACTTGCTTGTGAGAATGCACACTGTAAAATAAAATTTGAATAGTTGTTTTGTGTGGTGGTGTTGAGAAAAACCTGTAGTGTCTGTGCTTTAGGAGGAGAGTATGGAACTCAGCTTGAGAGGGAATTATAGACTGAGGTAAGAAACTACACCAAGTCACACTTTCATCCACAGTTAGATGTTGTCCTTGTTGTTATAGACTGTTAATCACTTTTGATTGGACTTGGTTTTATACTGTTGATAGAATATCTCCCTTTATCTCTTTCTCCCTTACTTCTTTGCTTGTTCCTGAGGTACCTGACAGTCATGACCACAACTCGCTTGTGAGTATGTTGCTGTTAGTATTATATTGAATTTCTGATTCATACTTCTGACAACAAATCACCTAAAATGACCTAAAATATGAAATACACTGCTGTTGTTGTGTGAAGAACCATTCTTTGACATTTGTGTTCATCCTGTGCTGCCTTACAGGAAATCCATTCTCTAGACAGTAGCGTTACACCTAACTCTTCCCCTAGTCCAGCAAGGAGGTTCAGAGGGTGAGTTCTCCTTCTGGCATAACTGTGTCAATAATGGAAATTATAATCAGTTCAGTTTGCAAGGGAATTGTACACTTCAGAGTACAATTGTATACAAGGTAGTGAGGAGCAATTTGTTGTCTGCCCAACAGTGTAGCACCGAATCCAAGTTCAAGATGGCCTGTTTTAACGCCATTGAAAAGGAAAGGTACGTGAACAGAATAAGGGGTGACTACTGTTTTACAAATAAATATTTATTAATTTGCATATAATGAAACAAGTTTTTTTTCAAGTCATTATTTTCAAGTGGCAACCTTAGAGCTCTAACGTGTCCCAGAATGATGTCCATTATTTTTTGTTCATTGTGATTTCTGTTCCATGTCCAGGAGGATTAGAGTCAGATGGACCCCCCAAAAAACTGTTTGTTGCAGGAGTAACAGCCTCACCCCACCTGACAGGTTATGCTGTAAGGTAAGGTATTTTTACTCTGGGGCTTTTAGACCAATGGCTTTTTGTAAGCTTCTGGGGAAACAGAACAACTTAAACTTAATGCTACATTTCAGCATTGTTCCTGAACATTTGGCATGCCAGTGTAATTGTGTAAATCAAGACTACAGAAGCATGTTGGCATGATCAAAGAATACTAAAAGTGAAATGGCATTTCTGAGCTCTGGGTCTTTTTTTCCCTATATCTCTTTCCCTTGTTTACTCTACAGTGTGACGCAGGCAGCGGATCCTGCTTCTGAGGAGGTGTCTGTAACTGCTGGTCTCCTTGCTCTCTACCCACCAGTGTCCTTTGCTTCTGACCACCCTAATGTCTAAGCAACCGGTCACAATCAGAAACTCGGCACCCACGAGGTGACAGCAGTTCAGAACAAGGTCGTAAATGGACACGGTAGTGTGCGTGCACACAAATACTCTGACTAGATTAAGTTGCTTTGAAGGATCAGAGGAGAAAGTATTGTCAGTCAGCTGAGAGGTGCTATATATAGCAGGTTTGTTTAGGTGGAAGGAAGCATGGACAAGTAATAAGTTAGGAAACCTTGAAAGGTCAGGAGTTATGCAGATATTCAGTAATAATTTGCCAACAATTTAAAAAAGGCTGAGCAGGAAATGAAATGCTTCTTAGAGTTGTAGATTACATTATTGCACAATAGTATTCCACAATGTAGCAGTAGCTACACAAGGGTTTTATTTTCACAGACATACTCACAGTATCTGTATACAAACATAATTTATGTACTTTCATAAATACATTAAAAACAATCATCCTTGGACTTTGCAAAGTTTATCACTGTTACCAATGCAGTGCATAGATATACAGTAGCAGACAGTTCTTGTTTTTCATTGAATTTCAGTTCATTGACAAATGGCAGGTATTATGTTTTTTTCCTTTAATTGTATTGTGAGTACCACAACCTTGGCCATGTACTTATTTAATGGAATAACTAAAGTCAGTGGTTTTCCTGGATATGTTCAAATAATTCTCCTTATTCTGGACAGAGCAAATACATGAAACATGTAAACCTGCTTAAAGTTGTCTTCTAGAAAAAAAAGATGAGTTTCAGTTAGGAGACAATATATTCCCTATTTTATTTAATTTCCACATTAATTTGTAACAGGTTGTCTGATGATTGAATAATGGTCCTTTTTTCTAAATAAATTTTTTTATACCAAATGTTACATACCATCTAAGTTGTCCTATACAGCTTAATGAATAAAGAGGTGGAAAACGAAAAAGGAACCAACACAAAAGATAAGCTTTGTATATGTACATATGATGACATTTTGGTCAAAAGGTTGCAAATTCAAAACCTGAAATGGGGAGTTGCTGTTATAGCCTTGACAAGGGTCCTTTACCTGAGTTGATTCATTAAAAATCCAGGCGTGTGAATAGCAAACGGAACATGTAATGTCTTCTGTGATAATACCCTTTGAAATCAGTCTGCCAAACCAAGAAACCATCTAAAGGTGCCTCTTGTTCAGTTTCAAACCTGTAAATAGATATACAGATATAAAATATTTTTATGGGCGTGTAAGATGAAACTATGTTAATTTCTCCTTAATATTTTATGCATATAATAATGCAAAATATATTGTTTGGGGTAAATACAAATTACAGCATAAACATATATTGTATATGTGAATAAAAACACGAAAATGAATACCAATAATCAACTTTTTATTGTGTACTGTGTTTCTCATTGAAATACTTAAGTTCTGTAATCTTTAAAGATGGAAGTGCAGTATTCCAATTGTGAGATCAAAAGGTTTATTGAACTGGTGCCATGTATTTTAATTGGGTTCATAATCATTGAAAAAAACTGATTAGGGTTAGCTTGGTCATCGTGATCCCAATAACAAATCTGCAAATCTGAGGTTTTTTAAATACAATTTTATGAATTTTAACTGGACAGTAACCAAAACACCCGTTCATTATTCGTGTCATGTATCAATATTTTATTCAAATAAATGTTCATAGGTATAAATAACCATTTAATTGATTGAACACAGGGAAATGTTTAACAAGGCTGCAAATCACGTGGTAATATGTTAAGAAGCCATTCAAACAAGTGCCTTTTGTGTGTCTTTTAACCTTATTGATGGATTCTCTGCATATTTCTGTTACCGTTTTTTGGTCCTCCTTTTCAGCACTGGATAAATGAAACTTTCATTTAAGAAAGCATTAGGGAGAGCAACGCCATCCCATTTTTTAAGGCAAAAGTCTGTAGAAATAGTTTACATTAACTTACAATGAGTTCTACTTTCTTGCCCGGATACAGAGTGTGTGATACTTTGTGACTTATTTCTTCTAAAAATAGTAGCCGAGATGCAGCAGTAAGAGAAAACGAAACCACGAAGCGGAGGCTTCCCGCCTCGCGAATTCAAACGAAAACCGCGCGAGTCTGCTTCCCGTCATACACCGCGGCAGGGATAAACGGTCATTATAATTTTAATTAAACAAAAAATAACTAAAAATCACTGAAGCCATTTTATAAGAAAAGTAGTTCAAATACTGCTGCAGATGCCCAGTACACACGATTTGAGTGCGGTGAAAATTTGTTATTTGACCGTTTACATTTTTATTTAATTTTTTTTCCCTCAGCTCCGTGTCACAAGTGTAGTAAGGCTGCTGCGAGCTGCCGTTGGCGCCATTTTCAAACAGCAGAGCCTGCGAGGATGATAGGATTGAAAAGCACAATAAAATATTTTTTCAATATCCACAAAATTTTACTGCATTCTACGAGAAAACTCAGCTATGAATTTAAATTAATTTTTTACATGATTTGGGAGGAGTTAATAAAACAGAGGTAAGGCACTTTAATTCGGTTTGCAGTTTTAAAAGATAAAGATGTGTAATCTTTTACATACTGTAGACTATTTTGAAATATACAGACATATGTTCACTGCTGTGGGTTTAAGTTTTCGTTCGGGTTTTGTTGTTCTGCTTGTTGGGCTTGAACGAGTTGGTTCGTGTTTGTGACCGCCAACTGCGTTGCATATCTGCGCGTCTGTTACTCCGTTATCAGTGCGGACCCCTCCCCGAGTTTGCCCTGCGCCCCTTCAGACGAAGCCCTCCACCCCTTACCAGCAATCACCACCACGTCGTTTCACTTTTCTACCGGTGACTTCTCCCGCGACGCTTAGAAGCTTCATTCCTGCTTCATTTAATAATAGTATTAATTCCTGCTTCATATAACAATCGCAATATTAATAATAGTAATAGTCAATTAGGACTAATAAATTAAATTACATTTTGTGTATTTTTGGACGCGTTCAACTGGAGCTAAATTAGTGGGCGATGCACCGCCGCGGTAGTTGGACAGCCCCTCTTGACTTGAGTCTCGACGCACAGCCACGGACTTTCCTCCTGCTTAATCCCGGAGATCTTCTAAGTCAAATAATTTACTTTTCAGCAAAACAGATATGTATACGGCCACAGTTTCCCCGAGGAAAGGCAATAAAAACATGTAATTTTGATTAACACTGATGACTTGTTCCTTTAGTGATCAGTTTAGGAGAAAAATCCAGACTTTAATCATGCGCATAATAAACCGAGGTTTTTGACGTGATATGATGTTATACCCAGCATTTCCTTGATTGGTAGTTCGCGTCAATATCAGTCACGTACATGTCCGTAGTTCAAATTATGAGTAAAAGAATCCAGAATTTAAATCTGGTGGTGCATTGCAACATACTCATCTTTTAAATATAACTTATCATTTTCGTATCAGTAATGGTCATAATGACAAACAAGCTTTGTAGTATAGACACGCTTGTGGGTGAGATTTATGACGCGAAAACGGTATTTTTGATGATTGACTTGATTAGCCATGGTAAATATGGTTATGAGCCAGCTAATATTAATATATTCACATTAGATAAGGCTCATAGAATAGGTCGAACGTTAATAATGCTATTTTTGCCACATACTATGACTGAAGCATTTGAAGACAATTCATTAGTAAGTAATATTTTTCACCATCTAGTACAATTATCACTGTAATGATTGTTATTCTTTACTGTAAAAGTAATATGTACTCTCGGACAGTGTTACATTTATTAAATATAACTTTAACGAGTCGCAGTAAGTTTGGGTATTTAATTACACCACTGCAATGACCGTAGTGGTTAAACAAATGTAGGTTGGCCTAAATACTGACAGCAATTTTTAAACGGAAATATTTTTACAGCAGTAAAAACTGTTTGTATTTCAGTAAACCGTGGAATCAGCACTGTACTTTTTTCTGTTACTGTAGGTAAAATAAAACCATTTTCGTAATCAATAGGTGGAATTCCAGAATATTTTAAAATTTCACAACGTATTGTACATGAAGATAATGCATTATATATTCTTTAACCTTTCAGTGTGTGTTTTAGTATGTGACGTGGATATTTTGAGAATCTACTGTCAACAACAATTACAAATTAAGTTAAAAGAGCTAGCTGTCACCCACTTCTGGTCTTAAGGTAAAACAAAGGTTTTCTGAATATCATTGTAAGTAGGTCTTAAAGTGAAAAAAGGCATATAGTTGTTATATAAATTGTCATATCATTGTCAACGATAAATATCTATTTTATGTGGTGTAATTTTTAAATAAACAATATAACAATAAGAATGGGATAATAAGAAAATTGTTTTTACACAGTACTCCAAATTAAGTATTTTAGCACACCTGACACTGTAACTTATTGAATCAATTAAAATGATAAATTTTAATCATATTTAAAGTTACAAATCTGGGGTCACTCTACAGTAGTTAAGTAGTGTGCACACTTATGTACCTGTAGAGGTCAGGCCAATAAACAGCACTTAACCCAATACTGAATGCCATCAAAACTCATTTTACAAACATTAAACATAAAGCCCTAAGGTTCAGCTTTGTTTTACTCATCTGTATTTCAATGAACAATATTCCTGGTTCACTAAGTGGGAGGAGGCCTATAAAATCTGTTGAATTCAATTAATCACTAGATAACAAAGGCATAAAAATGCAAATGACAGAAGTAGTTTTGGTTACTACATAATTAGTAAAATAGGTGTAATTCGTTCAATAAGTGTATCATATTTTCTCATACGTGTTTTATTTTGAGTGAAAGTATTGGGTAGCAGTGGTTAAGGCAGTTGGCTTTTGATGAGATTACTACAAATACAATTGCTGTATGAGACAATTGCTGTAAAATATGTAAAAGTTAAACATATGAATTGTTTTACATTTTATGGTATGTAAACAGTTGATAATATTAAGGCTTCTGTCAATTAAATAAGCTTGGTATTTTTGTTTGCCAGTTATAATGAAACAATGGTGATTTTTCAAAGGAGGATTTTAATACAAAGATATCTGTTCTGTTAGTGCTAGACTAGTGCAGGTTTCTGGGTATGTTCTGTTACGTGGTAACTTTAAAAAAAAAAAATTATTTACAAACGAAGGGCAACTGCCTTTAAAAAAAGACTCCTTTTTTGCTGTAGGATGATGGTAATAGCCCTGTAATTACTAGCTATTTTTATTGGCTCTTAATTTACTGGTCATTTTTGAAAAGGTGGGATTTTTTTTCCCAAGAGCTTTTTGTATTTTCAGGCTCAGTGGATAAATATAGCTGTTGGCTTTTATAAGGCCTATAACTGAGAAATCCATGTTGTTTTTGTTAAATTGATGAATTGTATTTTTAAAAATGCTTCTTTGTATTATAAATTTTCTCTACTACTTTCAGATGCAAGAATGTTTTTGTAGTAAGTTAATTTTTCACTTTGAATTAGTTACATACATAGTTTTTACATTGAATAAAAGAACCATTCTGATCATTATCATATTATTGTGACAAAAATACTTCATGGAAATATTGTAAACTTCAAGTATACGGTCCATTTTTAAAACCATATTGCTAAAGATGTGTTCTACAGCACTTTAAGTATATGAATGTGCAGTATTTCTAATATGTAACAGAAATATTTAACTCATCTTTAATTTTATATTTCTGTACTATTTTATACTTGCCTACAGGTGTAGCAAGGGAGGTGTGTGTGTGTGTGTGTGTGTGTGTGGTTGTCATTGTCTGAAGTAGGGATGTAGTCAAAGGATTGTTCAGTGGTTTCCTAATGGTTGTGAATGTTTCTAGTCAAAATAACCTGATTAACACATGTATAAAAAGGGCCTTGCAACATAATTATGAAGACTGAACATGTAAGAAATAATCACATAGTTTTATTTTGTTGTTGTATGGGTCAGTATCTCAGATGCACTTCCGCAGCATTCTGGTGACACACGTATTAAATGTTATTGCTTATATTTATTATTATTTCTGGGGGCCTTTTTATTGGGAGTGTGTGTTTGTCTGTGTGTGTACGCATGTGCATGTGTGTGAGCTGTCTAGGCCTCAGTCCTCAGTAAAACTATCTGTAGAACCAGATCAACATTTTCCACCCTTGGCTTTGCTTCCGATATCTGTAGAGAGGCACGGGACTAAGAAAGCAGTAGGGAGAGCAACGCCATCAAAATTTATAAGTGAAAAAGTGTTAAAAATCTGTATAAATGGTTTACCATACCTTACAGTAGTCCTGACTTTTCCTTTGTTGCCCTGATATAATTTTCCTGAAACGTCCTTAATTTCTCTCCTTCTGTTAAATGCTAACTGAACCAAGGCCAAGATTAAAGTCTAAAAAGCTATATGGCATGCTGCCTGTCTGTGTATCTCTATGTTTGTGTAGCTTGCCTCCATCCCCACACACACAGACACTTTTACTAAGGAAAACAACACATTCCCTCTCCTGTTTCCCTTTCTTGTTGCTTCTCCAACGTGTAATTTGCCCCCCCACCCCTCCGCCTGCACGAATGTCTTGGCAGGCGAACAAGAGGGAGAGTGAGCGAATGCCGTTGAGCGCTGGCTCAGCCCGGCCGAAGAGCCCCACAAAATAATTTTTTGTCCCTAAACAGTGACAGCTTTGGAGCTCAAAATTCATATCCTAGTAAAGTGGTCCCAAAGGGACCCCCTGATTTTTTTTCTGATTTTTCCGGCTCCCTGAAAAGGTTCATTTTAATTGTAGAAAGTGATGCCCCGGGAAAAAGCCTACACACACCCTGCTTTTTATGCCGACCAAGTTCCTCAGACGGCATCACTGGCCGCGGCAAAGCAGAGGCAGCACACCACTGGAGAGCAGGTTTCTGAAGGTGAATGGGGAGGAACGGGGGCCGGGTGAACATGGGGGAGGGGTGGGGGTGTCACATTTTTAAGGAAAAATTTAGGGTTCAACACCCCTTGCTTCCAAATGAAAGATAGGGACCCCTGATTCAGACAGTTAGGATTCTCTCCTTTTAATGTAGGCATGGAGTGTCCCATTGTGTGGTGAGTTTTAACCCTGGACAAAGTCCTCTCTAGTCGTTTTTATAATTAATATTGATGTTTATATATTATTAAAATATATTAAGAATAATTTTTTTCCTTTTTTGCATATGTTTGTGGAGTTTCTGTACCATACCCATTTTTAGCTGTGGAAGTGTGTTCATGTGTATATATTTTTAAGTGTTAAGAAATAGATTTTTGTGTTGAATTTGGTAAAGCAGGGACAGAACTCTTCACCATTCAGCAGTTTGTCATATGCACAAGAAAATCACTTATATCCACAGTGATGAAAACAAGTTAAACAAAATTAGTTTTCTTTTGCTTATTTTTTGCTTGAACAAGATCCCTGAAGGAATTAGTGGTTTGGTTATGTGATTTTTTTTTGACATTCAGTTATTACAATGTGTATAAGTTTCTTTTTATCACTGAATTGAGCCCCGATGGTGGAATACTGTGAAGACTGGAGGTAAGTGTTTTTAAAATGTATTTCTTCTTCTCTCTCTTCCATTTTCACCATTGGTAGTTTCACATCCTTCAAGGGCTGCCTGATGGGAGTGCAATGCAGGACCAGGCTGTCAGCTTTTCATCTACGTCTTGATTTTCTCCTCTCCTCGTCCTCTCTCTCCTCTTCTTTCTCTCCCCCCTTTTTTTTTTGTTGAGTATACTGAGGCTGGCAAAGGAAGCAGCCTCATTCTCCCTGCTTCTCTACCCAATGCCTACAACAGTGTCCTGACAATATCACTTTACTTTAAAAAAAAAAACATTTAAAAAAATTCTGACTTCAGGAACGCCAGGATATGCATATTAACGTCCAGAACCCGACACAGCAGTCCATGGGGTGGACTTAGAACAAGCAGGTCACCCTCAAAGCCCAATCTGCAGATAGCAATGTTTACCACTGCTGGATCGGGATATTCATGTATAATTATACTTTTCGGTTGTGTTTTTGGCTTATCATGTCAAGATAATTCCTGATAGGCTTATCGCATTGTTTTCTGTTTTGAATGGTGTTTTGGTGCTAAAGATATTGTTTTCTCTTTTTGGAAATCATGGTAAAAAGTATAATAATTAAAAACTTAATTTGCTATAGTACTGCAAGTAAAAATATAGCTGCGTGATACTGTTAGTATCACGTGTGTGAAAATTATGGGTGTTTGGTTGATCTGAGCAGACTGGCTGAATTTTCAGTACACCAATTTGGGTGTGGTGTACTTAAGAAAAGTATTTATAACTTTTACACTTTAAAATACTAGGTAAAAGGTAAAATATTAATTGCTAGTATTGTTCATTTTAATTAGGTAAAATTATATATTTAAAACAGCATTTGAGAATAGATGGTTTATATGGTGGTAAAATATTGCCACATCACTTGTTTTTATGTGCTGTCTTCCTTTGTGGGATCCCTGTTTGTGGTGTCTTTGGATTTAGTTTTAGATGTGTGTGCATGTTGCTATGTTTATATGGCTGTTGTGCGTTTGTTGTTAATATTGTACAGTGAAAGTGAGCCCATGTTTTCACATGCCTTTTTCTCTTTTTTTTGTCTGTCCTCCTCCATTTTGTGTAGCCCTCCATTTTGTCATGAACACTTGCTGAGTAATTAATTCAGTTTCCAAATTCAAGCCGCTTTTTTGCATTTTAATATTGAAAAAAAAACTTTTTCTATACTTGACTTTAGAATCTGGTATATAGGTTCTAATACAATCAAAAGAACATATTTTAATGCATTTTGTTGAATTGTAATTTGCAGAACTAGTTTTATGTGTTTTTTTTTTTACATTGTTGTGAATTTGAAAACATTTTTGATGTTACTACTTTTTTATTGTACTATAAACCAAATTTCTTAAGTAATATTTTTAATACACTTGGGCAAATGTCTTACTGGGATGAGGTGATTAATTTTATTGTTTAATCATTAAGTCATTGTCTACCAGTGGGTGAGTCGGTAATTTTATATGACCATGACCGTCTAATAGATGACATACAAGTTGTTTATGCATAATGCCCTTCACATTTGGCAGAACCAGGACAAATCAAAATAGACTCTTAAAAATGAGCAATGATAGACACAGCATTATGGCTTTAATGACATTACAGAATTCAGAGAATTACAGGGACCCTGTAATACTGGGCTGTCCTCCAATTAGTGCTGCAAACATAGAGACAAAAGTACTGAGCTGCATGACAGGATTTTAAAATATTGATCAAATTTGTATTTTAATTAACAACAATTATTTGAATCCACCACTGATTGCAAAGTAAACTACTGTAAAAATTGCAATCCAAAACATTATTTTAGAAAATGTTGAAGTGATGTATAGTAACCTTGAACTACAGTACCATGTTTAAACCAAATGTTTAACCCTACTAAATATAATGAAGTGCATCTGATATGAATGATACACATAGGAAAATGTATAATTCTTGTGTTGGACTGAGAATCTTAGAGCTATATGTTCAAAGAACTAATCACACTGAGGGCCATGGAGGCAGTGAGTGTTCCACCTTCATTCAGACAAATATAGTGTATGAATTCAATGAGACTAACTAGAACATAATCAGAAAATAAGCCAGTTAATATATAAATAACCCAGAAAATGAATCGTAGCAATAGTTATCTGATGTAAGTCATCCCGATCAGTAAAGGATTTGTTCCAGAATGGTACCCTTTTACCCACTATGTGGCCAATCTGATCCGTTCTAACTGCACTTGACTCCAGAGTGCCCTCTAGCAGCACATCATGGTTTGCAGGCTCCCCAAGATACTTTCCAAACCATTCTGTGCTGTTTCTGGGAACTGTGGAAATTACATTGGGATTCCTCAGGAGTAGCACACCGCCATCCCCCCCAGCTTACTGTCATTTTTCCAATCAGCAACCAACTGCATCCTATAGTAAACAAATGTTTTTGATTGTGGGGTGAAACGTATAAAATGTTACAGGCTCTTGTTTGGGACTATTAACACTTAATACCTATGCTGAGTGACAGAATTTTAGGGAGGGGAAAGTAAGTGGTGGTGGGTTCTGTTGCACTCATTAAAGATGGATGAAACATCATATAGGGAAAGGCATATTAACAGGCTTTGTTTTATGCCATTACATTTTGCATATCCTGTAAACATACCTATTGTATACCATATATAAACCTGTTGCTTTGCTGTATAGCATCAGAGGAATGTTTCATATTCATTTGGCTGGTGAGAAAATTCTGATAACACTTAAAGCAATCATCATAATGCATTCATAAAGTTTTATCAACATGGCTATAACAATTTATTAAAAGACATAACACGTTATAGCCATGTTTATTATGCATTCTGAATGCTCTATTAAGCTCTCATTATAATGGTCAGTATAAGCCCTTATACATTATATAGCGTACTGTAGATGAAAGCTTCATTAAGCATTCATAATGCATAATAAACATAGCTATAATGTGTTATGCCTTTTTATAAATAGCTATAGCTGTGTTTATAATACTTCATGAATGAATTTTAATGCATTATGAAGTTATCAATAATGCATTATACATGAGTGCTTTAAGTAAAATGTTGCCAATATTCTCATACCAAGAAATGTCCAGTTGTATGTTTGGGTCGTGTATCTGCCTCACTTGTACATCATTTTGTGTAAAATAATCTGCTAAATAATATAAATGTCTGAGTAACCTGGACTGATTAAGTTTCTGCTGCATAAATACCTGTGACCTATGCTAAGCCATGCTAAGGAAATGGATGGGAATGCACCCATGGCAGTGACCAGATTGGGCCAGGTGACATAGTGTGCAGGGCTGTAGCAGCATGTCAATATTGGGAGCTGGTCTCTCTCTGGGCTGCCAGTAGGGCTCTGCTGCTGCAGTCAGGCAGACATCACTCATCGTTGTGTCCTGGGCTTGGGGCCTGGCCCAGAGATGTGAACAAGCGCTGCCCTAGTGACCAACGTCACCACACCTCAACATACCTCAATACACATGTTAAGATACAAGAACCCTGTGGCCGTAACTACAGACACAAACATAAGGATAGTTGGCTTGCATGGGATGTGCGAAATACTCCTACCAACTCAGCTCATCTCTTCAGTGTGATACACATTTTACCTCAGTTGCAAATCCCTTTTTTAAAATCATTCAAATGTTTGCAAAACTGCAGCAGGGTAATAGTCAGACATACACTATTAAAAAAGTTGCTGTTGTTGAACCCTTTTCTTGAAAAATGTCATTACTATGACCGTCAAGTATCTACAAATTTAATTTCATTTTTTCAGAAATTGTTCCTGCTTTGATTGACATTAGTGTGCATATTCTCCCCATATTGTATAGGTTTTCTATAGGTACTCTGGTTGCTTCCTGAAATCTGAAGACGTGCAGCTGATTGGTCTCTCTAAATTGCCCAGAGTGTGATTGTGTATGTGCCCTACAATAGACTGGAATCCTGACCAGGGTGCCCCCAGCTTGGTGCCTTATGTTGCTTGGCATAGACTCCATGCTCCCCTGCAATCCTGACCAAGAACAGTTACAAGATGGATGTGCTGTACTGAAATCATTGTACAGTACTGAACTGCAGAAAAACTATACTAATGTTTTATGTAATGGTGTAGTATGTTGAACTTTATTTAATATCTTGTGGTATAATCCAACATTATTTTGAATTGGTATCAAAACTGATGTACAATAATTCAAATCACCAAGCAACAGTTAAAGCGATCACTTCTTTCAGCTTTGGCAATATAAGAATATTAAAATGTGATTAGCAAAAGAAAATATGTGGATATGGTAACTACTATAGTGAAAAAATCTGAACCAGCTTTCAAAGATTTTACAAAATGTTACTTTATTACAACCTGCACAGTTCATATCCTGAAGTATTCTGGGAACTATACCTCACTTTCTTTTCACGGATGCAGTGGGTAAGCTGTGAAGGTTTAAATGCAACTTTAAGAAGCATTGCGTGATGTTATGGAGGCACAGCTTTATGCAAGCATGTCAAGCTAGCAGGTATTTAATATAAACATGATGAACAAAAACAAGACATCCAAGTCATTCAACTTTACAAAACTATTTGTTGTATTCAGTGATGCAACTTCAAGTCTTGAATAATACAAGCTTCTGTGGGAGCTCCCTATTACATTATGAGAAACATGTACAAACTATGAAACAATGCATGTAAAGGTGCACAGAAACAACCAAAATGGAGCACTATGCTCAACGCAACCATGCACAACTCACAAAAAAAAATGTATATACTTTACATATAAAACATTTTTATACAACTAAAATACAAGCTGCACACTTGAGTATACTCTGAAAAACAAGAGCCAGGCAATTTCTGTTTAGCACATAGTTTTTCATAGTTTTTATTTGCAGAATAGGAATGTGAAGGATTAAAGTATTCATTTAAAAATGCTAATAAACCATTTCACATACACTCATGCTAGAATCCTATGGAACAAAAATATATGCAAAGAAAATTTTTCACATCTCCACAATAAATCTGTTGTGTAGGTTCACCTGATAGAGATCACAAAATCCCAGTTCTCTCCACCTAAATATAGCCAACCATTAAAGCTAGACATCTAAACAGTATATTACTGTAATATAAACTCTGGAGTACAAATATAAGAAATCTACCCGAAGGAAACCCTCCCCCACATAAGGGTGTGAACTGAGATCCCTTGGTTTTACTTATAAAAACAACAGCACTTAACAGACAATTGCTTAAATGTGTTGTCAAAGATCACAGCAGTCTCAGTGTTCCCCGCAGGTTGTGATCCAGAAGTGAATTACCACAAAATTATCAAAAACTACAGGTATTTCTTTAAAACCAATAATGCCATTGCAGAAATCCTACAATTTGGCACTCATATGGGAAAACAGACCCATCTATTCCTGCTTTTCCACCCCGGAAACCTCAGGTTTCTTGCTTACAGAAGTCTGGTCTTAACAGGATCAAACACCATTAACAATGCTGGCAGAAATCTATGCTGGATCTGCCTGAAGGTCTAAAAATCTAAAATAATATTGCTTCTGAAGAGAAATGGCATTTCCCATTTTCCTTTGATAATGTCTTTTTTTTTTAAAAAAAAAAAAAAAAAAAAAGGACAACTGAATAACTACAAAAAACATCACAAAGTTCTCCACTGTTGTGGTTACATATGATAGACCCATGGTCAGCGTGAGAGGAGGGGTAGGTCACTGGAGTTCATGATGAGGCTGGAGTCCAGATTGAGGCTCTCTACAGACAGTGGACAAACAGTACATATGAAAGATTATTCGAATTTGTGGTCATTGTTGACACCACAGTGCACAACAACAAAATGTGTCCTCTGCATTTAACCCATATGTGACATCATGACATAGCAGGGGGCAGCTAATTCAGTGCTTGGGGGCAGTACCTTGCTCAGGGTACCTCAGTGGTGCCTTGCTGGTTGGGGATTCAAACCAGCAATTTTTCAAATACAAGTGTGCTTCCCTAACCATTAAGCCACCACTGCCCATTCTGTTCCTAGAACTATGCAAGGACTGAATTGGGTCTGTAGTACTATTAACTGTTATACCTAATCTCTATTTATACTATACTTGTAAGACTCAAAAGATTGTGTCAGTAATGAGATTACACAATTCATTATTTATGTCAATTTAGTTGAAGCACTTATCCAGAAGCCTGGGCACATACAGATACAAAAGCTCAATGTGGGAGAGAAATTGTCATACATAGATACAAAGAGATCAGCGCTCACCCTGGTCAAAGTTGAGCTTTTTGGTAGTGGAGCCTTCACCCAGCCCTTCAATATCGACTAGGTCGCTGTTCACATCAGAGTCATTGAGGGCACTCAGGGTAACATCTGCATGAGCACATGCATGAATCAGGACATATCAAAAGAAACGGAGACAATGGGAAGAGGATGTTACAGCATGTTAAAATAGCGTGCATTCTGTGAGGTAGCACAATGATTTGGCAACTTAACATACAATATAATCTGAGCATGTCACACCCACCTGCTGTCTTCTGTTTTTTAATGGCTGGGGGAGCAGAGGTTGGGCCCTGCAATCCTGCAGTCACAACAACCTGTGAAGTAGGTACAGTGATGACCTGTGAGGCTGGGGCTGGCGTCACGGCCACGGCAGTCTTTTTAGTGGTCTTTTTGGGAGAGTCCGATGAAAGTGGCACACGGCTGTCCTCATAGAGCTTCCGTTTCACTGTGGTCTTGATCTGGGCACTGATTTGAGAAGGGGAACGGAATCATGAGGACAAAACTAGACAGGGCAGACCACTCCTTAAAAGTAGTTCACAAGCAGCTTTAAACAAACGTGCTTTTCAGACCTTGAATCTCAAACAGTTGTCTGGACATTTTAGTCATGAGACAAATTCGGCAACAAAAATGAGAGCATTTTCAGACAAAGCAGGAAGCTATCACAATTAATGCAAATAAATCTTAGGAATATCACCCACTTCTGATAACCACAGTAAAAAAAAAAAACTGCTCCCACATGAAATTATATCTTTTCAAATATATGGTTTCCTGGCATAACAGCCATTTGGAAAGTTTTCCAAACATCATTTCATCATTTTGATGGAATCTATTAGAAGATTGAACAAATTCTTTGAAAACAATGGGTAAGTGCTCAGTGTTTTTAATACAAAGCAAGTTTGAATATGTAGAACAGATCTAGTTAATTAAGTTTCCTTTAAAGCATTCACAATTCAGAAAGTATTGTCAGTTAACTGAAACGCCAGTCCCTGGAAGAAAGTTGCTTCCAATGTGGAAATCTATAGCATCATCCTGATCATTGCTATTGGTATTTGCCACACCACTGCCGAGCTGTGGTAACGCAAGGCCAAGCAGATGGACGCTGGAGTTGCCACTACACACCCCCAAAGAGAAAAACAGTAAGGAGGTGGAGCAGCTCATGCCACAACAAAGTCTCACTGCATAAATGCAAGAGAACAGACAAGCAAAAATGATGAGGAAAGAGAAGACATTGTCTTAAACAGGATGAAACTCAGGAAGAGGGTTAGAGGGAATGGAGAGTATATAACTAAAAGTGGGAGTGAAGGGCAGAGAAAAGGGTCTTCTTACACTGTGCGCTCCTTGATGACCGAGCTGATACTGTTCAGGTCGTCACCAAAGCGCCGCACGGCTGACCGCAACATCTCGATTTCAGTGTCCGTCCACTTGGCTCTGTGAGATACACAGCGAGGGGTGGGGGTGGATGAGGAGGGGCAGTGTCATCATTTTCCTACCACACTCCACAATTTCCCAATAAAATACTAGGGAGTCTGTCAAATCTCTCTTTCCATATCTTGAAACGGTTTATTTGTTCCAACCAAGACAAAAGAATGAGCTTTTTTTCCCTCTTTAATCTAGGCCACCACCAGGGCAGGATGTCAGTGGATGTAATTAAAATGTGAATTTTTCTAATAATTACTTTAGCTTAAATTCTACCCAGGATGACGTCAAATCTGAGCAAACAGAAGTTAAGATACGAACTAAAAGCACATCAAGATTTATCAGATGTTTCTACTGGCAATCGTGCATATCCACACATAAGCGCAAATACACACACATTCAAATTTTATCTATGGATAGAGACTACAAAACTGAGCAAAAAGTATATGACATAACTGCATCTAAAAATAAGTAGGTCAGTAAATATCCTTTGTTGGTCACACAAGGATTAGCACATTTACCAAAAAATAAAGAGTGGCTATTCTTAAGCAGCAATGTTTTTTCACACAGTAGTATAGCTAGTGCAGGTATTCTCTACCTGTACCTACAAGTCAACCCCTTTCCCCTCAGAAGTACAGTTAAAAATAATAATAATAAAAAAAAATCTGTCCAATAAGCTGTCAGTAACAACTTCAGCAGATGAATGACAACGAACTCAGAGGACATGTATACTAGTCCTCATTGGTACCAAGCTTAAGTGAGACCTATCCCAAATTATAGGAAAACCAGAACAGAGGGAGGGCTGATTAGGCACAGTGCTGCCAGGAAACAAGACTAGGATAATGTGGTGACTGCTCGCGCAGAATGATGGATCAACTATTTTTCCACTTTACTACTAAAAATGCAGTTTTCCAAAATAACCATGAGGGTTTTTCCTTCAGATTCCCTCTCCAAACCACTTCCTTTCCAGGACTTTTCCCTGAGTTCTGTGTGTTTCTATCCAGTTTCCCCTCTACCTGTTTATTTGTGTATCGGGGGCTCCACTGGTCATCGGAAAGCGTGGCTTAGCACCACAAAGCCACAGCTGTGAAGCTCAGACTCACCCAGCAGGGCAGGAGTCAGCTACTGGGTGTAACTGCATGGTGAGCTCGCCCAACTTGGTGAAAGCAGCACCGGCAGCTGAGAAGATCTCCCCCACCTGACACGCATACAGAGAAAGTGCTAGAGTTAGGAAACAGCCTAGATACCAACAAGCAAGGATGCTGGGAACAAATGGTCAATGACTGCTCCTCAAATAGGGCACCCCACCCCCGAACTCGTTTACACGGATGCCTTTCTAAAGTTCATATTCACAAACACACTAACCAGACGTGGTTCTTTAGAAAACGGCAGCACGGTGGGTAAATTGTGCGGTTCGTCCACAAAATTAGTACATTTCAAATAATTTCTGTCATCTATACAAATAATATGCTTACGTCATTTCAAAACTGAATCTAACCAAGTTTCCCATGAAATCCAATAAGACATTTGTAACATTATCATCAAAATCTTAAATTGTCAAAATATTAGTAAACGTTATCAGGGAAGTGGGTATTTGTTCACACTTGCAAGTGAGGGAGTAAACTGATTTTAGTGTTGTTCAATCTTTCCAATAACAAACGCTAAATATCGGAACTTCAGGCAGGAGAGCCGCATAAGCGGTGGCTGGTCGCAGCTGACCAAAAATAAGTATCATCAGTACCATATCTGGGTTAACCTAAATCAACTGAAATTAAAACATTTAAGTGTTTACCGCTGTACCGCCACAGTATATCACAGCAGCTTTCAAAGGTATTTAAACCGGACTTGGAGCGACGGTCTGCTCACCTTAGTCGACGCTGAAGTCATTTTCCCGCTAAGAAAAATGGAGTCGCGGAGCCTACCCAAAAGCGGCTTTATTTAATCAAAATATAGAGGTTTTATATTTAATGAACGCTGGCCAAACACCGGGACCTTACAACAAAGCACAAGGCGGGCTTCACAAGCTAGGTGAGAAGAGCGGGAGATTACGGGGGGAGAGATCCGAGCCGCGTCCCTTTCCCCGACCGGCTCAGGGTTCGGCTGTCTAACGCGGCCCAAGTAACCACAGCAGCCGCCCACTCAGCCCAGCCCACGCTAGCTGGACAGGATGGCCGATACGCGCTGAAAACTGCGGGAACTAGCTCCGGATAGCTATTCGCACCTCCGTCCGCCCCAAGAACAATAACAGTCGGCCTGTGAAGCAGGCACACACAATCCCTTCGTCGCTTTCTTTTCTAAGCTGCGCCTCCTACGCGCACGGTTGCGTTTCTGATCCGCTAATGCACGCCATTGCGCCTAATTCAGAACTCCGACGAAATAAATAAATAAGCGAGAACCAAAAACAATTCGACGAACGGCAACTTCTCCTCGATAGAGGAAATTCCCATTAGCCTTCGCCCATTTCAACGGCCATTGGCCCAAAACCTGAGAACTTGGTCTCTGATTGGATAGCGCCCGTGTCAGTCATGCTTTTTGAATTACCGCCCCATTTCCTTTTCTTGTTGTCCGAGTCCATCGGAAATCGTGTGGTGCATTGGCTGAAAACGAAAAAAAGACTCTTGAAAATATTTTAGGGAGTTTGCATTCACCTTACTTTGGTAATGCTTTTACTTATAAAGACATATAAAATGTCCCATTTAAAAAATATTGTGATACCTCAGTTGTCACATTAAATAGAAGTACAATGTCAGTACCATGGACAGTGCAAATACACCTTGCAAAATATACACTCATTGTTAAAATTGTTTGTAGCAAATGTTAAAAGTTATGATACATATTATATAGTATAATTAGATCGCTATTGTCACTGTCAAATCATCAGAGGAATCAGAAGAGAACAAATGACTAATTGAGAAATTATCCTATTTTTGGATTACCTGTCTCTCTGATTAATAGATATATCACTTATGGCTCTCTAGTGCTATCTGTGGGTTATAGACAAAGCTCAGGATGATTGAGAGAAAATGGCAGAAAAATAAAACCCTGTGGATTTGGCTGAGCATCAATCACTTTTATTTTTCTCTAACACCGCTGCTGCTAAAACTACCTACCAGACACTTGCAAACTATTCTTACCATTCAACACCCTCCTTAACATTCCACCCACCACCCTGACTGCCGACTGTTCCAAAAGAAAGCAGCAGCTATTAACTAGTTCTCTCTCCACCACTTGCATACAGCCCCCTTCACCACACAGTCCCATGCGCCCTTCATTTGCCCCTCATACTAACTGGTGTCAGCAAGCCTCTTCTCACTAACAGACCTACCTGTCCCCTACACCCCATCTACTTACAGAGGGAGAAATTACGGGGGGGGGATGGGGGAGGGGTGGTAACTCCTTTAATAATTAAAACCAGCCAATACAACCTCCTGCACCCTCCTTAAATGAGAGGAGACCTTAACCTCCCCAATGTTCAACCCAAAGTTAAACGGTAAGCACATCACATCTCCCATGACTAGATCATTTCACATCACATAAGCAGGCTTAAGAAACTCCACTGCCTAAGTCATCCACACTTGCCCCTTCACAAGTTGAAAAACACAGACCAGTCTCTCTCCTCTCATTAATGTTAGCATGTGCTATCAAACCACTGCAGATGATTCAAATTGGAGCAGCATAATTCCAATTCTGATTCTAAATGTCTGATACTCGACCACCTGAAATACCCTCATGTTACAACTCACTTTGATTTCACTGTCTTTATGGGTCACTTCTTGGCAGCACTGGATGCTCTTTTTTATATATTCACTCATCTTGTAGGGACCCAATCCTCATGTTGTTTTCATTTAATAGCTTTTCTGATGTTAGGCTCTAACAATATCCCATACAGCCTTTGTTCCATTGCTAATTCTTGCACTTGTTAGTCAGTAGAAACCCAGGCTAGCAGCATCAATGTCAACAAAAAGCTGGTTCGTTGGATAGCTAACAGGGTTTTCTATGGGTGAGAATCCAGTTTTTCGTTGTTTTACCTTGTATTGAGATTTTGTTGGCAGCAGACTGACTGTAGGCATACATTAATAGCCCTCACGTAAATTCTAGGTTAAATTACTCCCCTTCATTTTTAAAATATGTTGATTGATCTATATTATTCAGCAGTACAGTTATTATCACTAGCCTTAATGGGAAGAAAACGAATGAATCGCAAACCACACCAGAAAAACATTTGAAACCAGTTTCAAATTCTTTTAAAATCTCTAAACAAAGTCGTCACTAAAATCTGTGATCTGACTGTTCACTAAGTCCAATCACCGTCAAATAGAATTATATATTTTAAAAGCACACTGCCGCAAAATTCATGTGCACAAAGCACACATAACCTAAAACAACCAAGCTACGAAAGGCATACTGCATTAATTTAAATCCAACGTCACTTCCTGTACTGGCCTCTTTCGTCCATTTCGTGATCAGCTGACTCTTGTTTACGTCAGTTCTATGACTACCTCATCTAAACAACGATGTACGAAGGTCTCAACTGAATAATAAAATATAGAAAAATAAATTGTATCATCACCGGGTGTGTGGAATTTCGGTTTTTAAGTATATAGTAAAAGCATTCGTAACATTTTTTCATTCTTCCTTCAGAGTTTACCGAGCTGGATTTTCTTAGTGCCTTACGCTAGATTCTAGTTCCATTTACTTAACAGTATTATACTGCAACTTATAATAGTTATACACCATTTATAACATAAAAATTTACTTATTTAGTATGACTTCCGGAACCCCTTGGTCTTCCGATTGTGGTACAGCTGCATGGATGTCCCGCCTACTGCTGGCGGAAGTAACTCACATGACCGGAGCGTTAGGTAATACAAGCCTGGGCCCAAATATCGTCTGTAAAACCTAAATCTGAATTGGAATAATCTCACCCAGAACTGAAGGACATCATTATATTCATAAAGGCTAATATTAATTGTCTCCGGCCAGATTAAGAATGCCGTCGCTTTTATTTTGCGGTCCGAAATTGGCTGCTTGCGGGATAGTATTAAGTATATGGGGCGTCATAATGCTGGTAAGGATTTTTTAAATACTAACTTTACTTGCATCATTTCACACTGCTACTAACATTAATTGTATTTTTTTTTTACGAGTGGTGTAAAAGTTGTGAAATGCCCCCGATCACCGTTCGATGGACGTCATCGGGATAGTTTGACCCCACCGGGGTATTCTCTGCTCTGCTTGATGTACAAATAAACTGTTAGTTAATTAAATAAATTCGTAAGATCAAAAAATGATTTAAAAATGTTCTTTGATTTAGCAATTGTTAATCTCTGTGTATGTAATGTCATCTGTACATGTGGCTTACGATTTGGGTAACGTTCATTAAAAAAAAAAGGCTTCAGTCTGCGAATGGCCGGGTTATTTTCAATATGAAGCTTTTTTACGTTTTGCAACCTGCTACCTCAACCAAGTCTAGACAGCCGCATTTTAAATCCAGTCATTGCATTGTTAATAAAGGTTAAACTGAGGATTTTGTAGGCGTGCCTTTATGTTATAATGGCCGTAAATTATAACACGGTTTTTAAACCATACTCCGGAGTAGGTCGTAAAAGGCTAATGCTCATCAAGTCACGGGGCTAGATGTATACCCGCTTGTAAAATACGGTAAATACTTTGGGTCTTTCGCCGTTTCGTTCTGACTGCCTAAATAATAAATTAGGTACGAAACCTAAACGGACATTGTTTCTGTAAATAACCAGTTAATAAATATGTTAATAAATGTAGGTTCGCCGTCTCAATTGTCATAGACATTTATAATGCTATATCGCTTTGACATTTCGACGTTATATATGTCTTGCACATTACACGGAAAGAGTATTATTAAGGAATACATCGAATTTAAATCCATAAACATCGTTTATGGGTATTTTTTCATCTTCCCGTGCTTGATCCATATGTATACACTTGATGGATTACCAATAGTTGTGTGTAATCAAAGGCAACATCAGTCATCATCACAACATTAATTCTGTCAACTTGAACTCTCTTTCCCTTTTCCGATCGGCCAGGTGATGCTGGGGATATTTTTCAGTGCTCACTCAGCAGTACTGATCGAAGACGTGCCCTTCACAGAGGACGACATGCTCAATGAGTAAGTGTCTTGTGCCCGGTCCAGTCAGGATGGAAAAGTGACATACGCATATTTCCACAATGTTTACCCCAGACTGGACAATTTTGTATCCTGACTCACCCAAGTAACAGCCAGACCTGTGGATATGACTATTTCTCAAAGGTTGCTTATGTCATTGCTGGTGGACATTCGTCCAGTTGTTAAAATTGATGTGAAAGTTTTGCACCTTCCTTTATCATGTGAAAAGAGTAGCAGACAGTTTCACATGTGTTTTGTCTAATATCTGGTTAAGAGCAGAGTTGCCTTAAATGTACACTATGTGCATTTTTTAAGACAAATTTAAGTCGGTCAAGATGTAACATGTTAATTCATCAGAATCAGCGTCAGATTTCTATCAGAGTATTAATATGTGTAAATACTTTTAAATTCATAAAAGAAATACTTTTGTGAAGGCTCAAAAATGGTTTGATCTTCGATTTGTGGCTTTTTGCTGAATGGAATGTCTTTTTCTCCCCCCAGTAAAAATCCACCGCAGGCTATCTACGCACTGTACAACCAAGTTGGCTACAATTGCTTTATTGCAGCCGCCATCTACTTGGTGGTGGGCGGTATCTCCCTCTGCCAAGTCCGACTCAACAAGCGCAATGAATACATGGTGCATTAAACCCCCTGCTGGACGGAAACGATATAACAAACTGGAGTAGATTGGATTTTACATCTCTAACTTTATTATCTGTTTTGATGATGGTTCACGGGCCTCTATATGGTACAAACAGTCCACAAGGGTGTATTATGTTCTATATTATGGAAAATAAATGGAATTCAGATGAAGAGAGAATATTTGTTTTGATGGAAATAACCGGATATTTTCCTGGTCTACATGTATTTATTTGTTCAGATGATGTGTTGTAACTTAATATTAAAACTTAAAGCATCACTTTAGTAGTCTGGTGCAGTAAAATGCTCTATATTGAATTTCAGGTTAAATGTTTCTCAATAAATATTCATAATTTAAACTATTATGATTATAGTTCTTGGCCCTGTTATGAAGTCATAATGTCCTCTCTTATTGTTAGTCATAAGACCTGTGTATTATATATAAATATATAAAATACACACATTTTTAGGTGAACATAAGTATGCCATTCACATATAGATGAACTTTTTGTCATTCTTTATCTGCATAATGCTGAATGTTGTAAATTTAATGGAGATTGATGCAGCTAGAATTTGATTTTTTTGTTATCAGGCCAGATGATGCTTTAGGCCTGGCTTTCCTCTGTTTTTACTCTCAGTCTTCAGTTCCCTCCAGTAACAGGAGTGAGTTTTGAAAGTAGCCCTATTACTGTAAAACAGGAAGATGTGTGTTATGGTGATTGGGAGTTTGTCCTGCTTAGTAAAATGTGTATTTATGTGGTTTTGACTCTTCTGTGATTAAATGTTTGCATCCAGTCTACCTGTAATAAACCTAAACATGAAGAATCTTAAACCTGTGTGTTACCTTATATATGTGGATATCCATAAATGCATTGCAAGCATAATTTAAATGTGATTTTTATATTCAATCCTATTTATAATCTTAATGAAAATAATTGTTTACTATAACACCCATAGGATTCAGGGAACAGCAGCAAGTGATTTTAGGTTGTCATCTGAGGATTCTTTAACTTTGTAATTCAGTAATCTGTCCCAATCCACCTTTGACATCCCACACTTCCCAGTCAACCCCCATGGTTCTTCTCTCCCACAGTGATTTATTATTATTGTATTATTTTGTGGCACTTTAACTGGTAGCATTTCAAGACAACTTTGAAAACACTCTGCAAGGATTTTAGGTGAGGCACTAAATGGTCGTTGCTATCACAGTCATAGTCATTTTAGTCTTTTGGTTTCCTCCAGGTACAGATTGTCTTTCCTGAGCTGCTCAGAGGATCAAAAATAATATTAACCTTTAAAAAGCATTAACAACTACAGGAATGTACTTTTTTGCCGATCGATCTGTCACGATTAAAATAAAACCTTTTTAAAGATAACCTCAGGGCCAATTGCCGTACTGTCTTTCAAGGGTGCCAGGCCAAACAATAGCATACAATGCATCAGTCTCTCACCTTAAAGACATCTATGGAATTCTCTGGTGAATCAAAGTAAGCTTTGCCACTTAATGAAGCTGAGCATACGTTCCCGAAAACAAGAAAAGTGCTTATTAAACTATCTGGGAACTGAAGGATCGTAATACGCTACCTATCTTTCAAGTTAACGTAAATTAATCTATTGGTTAATTAGCGTCAATTATATATCACCAGTCTCCACGTTACACAGCATCAACTATGTTAGACGATGCGATATATATTGAACCAGGATTAGGCTATTTTTAGAGAATGTTTGTTGTCTATGTGCTGCATATGTGTCAATAAATTATTCACGCAAACTTCATGGACGGCCTGGCTTCCATGTCCCACGGCTGGAGTTTGCCTCAGCGCCAAGTCGGAGGTCAATCTTCAAATGAACTGGTGCTGAAATTATTATTAGGGTTGAAATTATTATTAGGGTTGGTTTTAAATGCCTTAAAATTACAAATCACTTAAGCACTTTAATAAACCCAAAGGTGAAGCAAGCCTTGTAAGCGGAACAAACGTCTTCAGGACTATCGCCCAGTGCGTTGATTTCGTGTGATGGAAGCTTGGAAGAAGCACGTGCGCGCAAAGCTCTTCCAGCGGGATCTCTTACAAAAGGATCCATTTACCGGCCTATTTAATACGTGTGTGTATTTATGTTTGACTTGATGCAGTAGTATTATTTATTTATTGGCGCGATCTATGTCTGAAGTTATAAAAAAAATCAACGCGGCGAATCATGATTTCGAGTATTTTATACTTTTTGCACACACAGGTTTGAAGGTGGTTTTTGTAGAACATACGTCGCCATTGACGTTCTGTCTGTTTACAATACAGATTCACAGCTGCTGGAGAAATGTGAACTACGTGAGAAGGTGTGGGAGGAAAACCAGATATCCATGTAAGATACTGAATGAATTGCCTTGGACCACAGCAATGTTCTTCTAATCATCGAGACGTGGGAGGGAGAAATTATCGTGATGTTAAGTCTTTATGGTTTAAAAGCGGTTGTTCAAAGTCTCTTCACGAAGAAGTCAGTGACTGTACGTACCTGCCTACACTACAAAAAAAAAGAAAATCGAAGCAAGTATAAGTAATCTAATTTCATTAATAGACTAACACAGCTCATGAATAAGAGATTAATTTGCTTGCATTTAGGCATATTGTCTTATTGTACGAAGTACAATTTTCTTACTGCACTGGCAGATCATTTTGCTAATTTTAGACCGTCTTGTCTCAAAACAGAAACATTTTATATAAAATTTGAAAGGACATTGTTTTCAGTGTAGGACTGTGTCTGTGTTTGATCTAGCTCTGAGAAAAGCAGCAGTGACGGTCAAACACTTGAAGTGCCGTTTCATGTATATCTGGTGCTCAAAGAGAAGGAGAAAGTCATAGAGAAGGTGAGTCACCCTGTGTGTTAAACAACCTGCCTTACCATCAGTCTTCATGACTCATAGGATTGCCAGCTCTCACGCATCTGCCGTGACACTGACGCTTTCAGACTCTCACGCTCATGCAAGAAATTTTATGGTAAATATGTATTCCATTATAAAGCTAAAGTTAGCTACATCAAAAGCGTAAAAGTTGTCTCTAAATGAAACTCTCACGTCAGCCAGCTGAGCAAAGTTGACATCCCTCAACCCATCTTATTGCTCCAGCTCTTACAGACTGTTGCAGACCTGAACACCACCATGTATCTTAAAGAGGCAGAGCTACAATACTGTCACTCACAGTGAGTAAATTGCAGCTGGAATCAATATCTGATGTATAGAAGACCCAAGCCAAGTATGTCACACCCTCAGTGACACAAGAGTCTTTTTTTCTTTTCTAAGGGTGTCCCGCTATCGGCAGGAGGCTGTCTCTCAGGCCTGCGACAACGCGGCTCTGCGGGACACCCTGTCAGAGTGCGAGTTCGCCCTGGAGCAGCAGTCTAAAGAGATGGCGGCTTTGCGCTCAGGACAAACGGCACTGTTGCAGGAGATGGATGAAATCCGGCGTGAGAAGGAGGAGCTACAGGAGCGATGGTTGCAGGAGAAAATCCAGGAGGCACACAGAGTGAACCTGAACAATGAAGCCCAGGAGAGGTGAGGTGGGGATCAAGGAGAGAATGGAATATAAATCAGAGCTCAGTCTCTCACAGTAAGTGGCACCTTTTTCTGAACGATGAGATGAAATGATGGTGTGTAGCTGTGTTAGGGTTTCTCAGCCTGTCTACATAAACTGAGGCTCAAATCCTGTAGTTGGCAGAATAATCATATCACAGCTGGTCATGAGCAGAGTGTCAATGTCAACTGCTCCAGGGTGACTACATGCTGACACTCTGACCCCAAGGAGAACTTGCTCGAACCTGCATATACAAGTCAGTGTCTCCCACAGAGAGCAAAATGTAGTATGCAAAAAATAAAAAATCTTTTACTGTAATCAGTACTCGTTACTGATAGTTGAAATCAGGGGCGCTGCCAGAAATCTTGGGCCCCATGAAAGATTACAATTTTGCCCCCCCCCTTTTTGTGAAAAGGTAAAGCCCCTAACAGGGCCCCATGTCAGTGCTGAGCCCCTAGAATTGTTCTAACCTTTCCCCCCCTGGCGGCGCCCCTGGTTGAAATAATTGTATGCAGTTTTGATCAAACCTTGTAAATCCATTTCAGGTGACTAAGTTGACAGACTGCTTTTTATGTCCTTGCATCATCATTAAAGGTCTTAATCATTTTCGTGTGGCCAAGATGGTGAATGTGAGCATTCACTCTAGTTACTATAAGGTTACTTGGTCTTGTGGTTTACTCTGTCCATTTATAGTCTTTTATAAGCCGTTCCTTTCATCACCTCCAGATGGCATCGCTTCACCCGTCAGCTAACAAGGCGCCTTCACAAGCAAAACCAGCCTCAGTGTGAGATTAAGGAAGGACAGCCTGACTCTTTGAAGGAATCTTCCGAACCACCCAGGGCCAAGGACAACTGAGTCTCTGAGGTGATCTGAAAACCACCTGGCACAGATTAAATTTGTATGTTTCTTACAGCAGTTTCTCATGCCAGAGGTGTTTTCATTGTGGCATATGCCATGTTCACATTTTACAATGTCACCAGGCTGAGACAACAAGAATGTTTCATGAATCAACTTTCAGCTTAGATTTGACATAAAGGCGCATGACAATTAGCTCCAAATTGGACTGCCACTAAGCATTTAAATTTTAGCAGCGCATTTTGAAGTTACATCCATCTTCAAACAGGAACCTCTGTTATGCAGGATGTTGTATTAGTGAGCTTATTGGCTTATTCCTAAATCACCAAATGCCCCACTTTTTTCTCCATTCCCCAGCTGACTAACCGACAGATGGATAGCAAGTCTGCCCAAAGGTTCTGATCTCTGTTGAAGAAGCAGCATTTTATCATGATCATGTCTTGAATCAGAAGCAATCAAAACTAAAAAAAAGTCAGTTTTCCAGAATGAAACAGCCTTTCAGAAATACAAATGTCAAACTGTAAATGTATGGCTTTTCTTATCCCATTGAAGGTCTATTTTTGTGCTTGAATTGCTCAAATAACTGTCTAAATGAAAGTACCATTAAATCTGGTCAAAGGTACTATCTAGTTAACTGAATTCTCTGGGTCCGAAACGCATCACACAGACACACCCAACTTTTTCCCATGTTTTTTTATTTTAAATATGCACTAATATGCAGTACAAAATAAAAGAGTGCATATTTTTATCATGGTAAGTTTTCTTACAAGAAAAGCTGCAACAATCCATCTTTAATAAATCTCATAAATTGAGTGTAGTCTCCTTTCTTTCACATAATAGTAATCTGCGCATCCAATTAACAATTTGATTTTACACAATTGTGATGATGCTGATTCGGAGCCTCTCCCATTGGCCATGGGATACAAAGCAGGATGCGCTCCATCCATCACAAAATCATACTAACAGGCATTCAGATTTGCCCAAAGGAAAGAATCCTGGCAGGAAACCAGAGATCTTGGAAGTAACACACAAGAATGTACAAAGAATGTACTCTGTCCTGACAGAGCTGTGGCCAGATTTGTACCTGTAGTCCTATAGCTGTGCGATCGCTAGGCTACCTGACTACTAACAGTAGAACCTAAAAATGGTCTTTGGGTTTCTGCGTGGAGTGCTCTACAGGGATCACAAATAGATGTGACAAAAAGCAGTTATAGTTAGTAATGATACAGAAGCAGAGGTAATATCTTATAATGAGGCCAGGTGCATGCATGATGCTTGGTTGAGCCTAGCTTATTTTATCAGCACAACCAAACCATAATAACCAGGAGGATGAATTGACCAAAAACCAGTGCACATGTGCATCATGGCATTATGACCGAGACAGCCGGGAAAATAACCTTGTAAATATGTACTCTTTCATTTCTGTGAGAAGCTGTAACATGCTTTTTCATTTTAGATATGGTTTACTGTCGGAAGCATAGTGGCAAGTGTGAAACTGCCTCTTTGTACTGAATGACGTCAATTAGATATTTATAGACGAGAAATAAGGGGATATAAGGGGATGAGACATCAAGATAAAATGCAAAAAAATGTACGGTGGCACAGTGGGACCCCATAACCTCACACCTCCAGTGCTGAGGGTTTAAGTCCCTCCTCTGCTGTGTTTGTGGAGTTTGCATGTTGTCCTCATGTTGCATGGCTAAAACATGCATTTGGGCTAATTGGCATCTCTAAATTGCCCGTGTATTATGATTGCGTGAACATGTGTGTGCCCTGTGATGGACTGAAATTCCATCAAGCCTGTCTGGGATTGGCTCCTGCCTCCCCCCCCCACCCGACCCTCTGCCCTGAACAAGATAATTAGTTAGGAGATGGATGAAACAATAGAATGTAAACACAGTTCCCCAAAAAGAGCCCCCTGCAACAAGAACATATGCAGCCCCTGTAGTTACTGATGGAAAACAGGACATAAATGCTCGTAGTTGCATCATTTGTAATTATTAATTTATAATATGTTTTATATTATACTTTTATATAATATTTAATTTCTTCAGTTTCCCCAATAAGTAGGTGTTTATCACCATTGAAACAGCATATTTGCGTCAAAACGCTAAATATTTCATGAATGTGTTCTTTATTTAGGATGTGCTTGAAGCAGCATGTTCTGCTAACCAGCTAGCTAGCCAAGGTAGCGTTAATAGGCATTGTTGAAGCGATCATGTCCCAGTGGCCCCATGAAAAGAAAAAATAATCAAAGATAGTTAGAGTCCCTAACAGAAAATTTGCCTGAGGAGGATGCAGCAAACTTTATAAATGTTTGAAAAAAAAACAACAACACATGGCTGAAAATGGAATCCTAGTTATATTTATATACAGGTAACAAAAAGACTCGGGTGAAAATTACTTTAAAATGTCTGCACTATTGCCATTCAAAGTTAGGCTTGTGAGTACTGGCTGAGCAAAGATTCTGTATGTGTGCACATGCCCTTAGATGTGCAGGTCTTTGTCAGTGTTAAAACCCAGGTTTCATTCCTCACTGACACACAAGCATAAATGTTTTGTAAAACAAAACTTAACCTGACAAGTAGAAAAGAAATACTGCAACAAACTGAGGTCCATCTAACTCTGTCACTGAATGTAAACACGGACAATGATATTCCTTCTAGGACAGTGTTTCTCAACCTTGTGCTCAGGGACCCCCAGACAGTCGATGTTTTTGCTCCTATTAGGGAGCTCAGAGGGAGCAAAAATGTGGACTGTCTGTGAGTCCCTGAGGGACAGGCTGGGAAACACTGCTCTAGGCTATCAGCACAAAATACTGAAATATATAATAACTCAGTCTTTAAAGTTCACACATGGATGGCGGAGGGGTGCTGTGTCTTTTCCAACAATCCTTAACCGTAGAGTTATGCATTGACCATGGTATCCATACCAGACATGGCTCATTGAGGAGTCGGGGAATCTGGCTTCAGCAAATGTGATTGTCACCATCCTTGTCCTTTATTCGCTTCAAACGCAAGCGGGCAAAGTCCTCAAACACAAAGTCATCATCCTGAGTAAAATTACTGTGAGGATAAAAGGAAGTTAAAAGTGAAACAATAATTACTATATAGAAATAAAGCCCATTGTGCTACATTATTTCTGAAAAGGCACACAAATAGTCAATAGACATTGTATGTACACTGAGGTGTCCATGTGCTAAGGGCATGAAATGACCTCATAACTGTCACCTGGCCCAGGAATATAAGGGATTCAACAAGGGCAAGGTTACCGGCATACTCGTGCACTCTCCTATGAGGGCAATCACAAGCAAACCCTCCAACAGGGGCTTTCACAGGTAAACCAAACTTATGGAAACATATTGCCTTTTTACTCTGTTATCACTTAAATATGTCTTTTTGTCACAGGCAAAAAAGGTGCATTTAAAAAGTTTTTGTGCACTCATAATCTGAATTAATGGTAACATTTTAAATAATTGTTGGCATTTCAGTGTGTCTATGGTATTCCATTTGTAGTTATATCCCAATATATATTATTCTGGTATTGTAGAACTTTAAACTAACTTTAAACTTTGTGCAATCATGGCAACTGCCACCTCAGCCAACATGGATACAATTGTTTGAAGCCTAGACCATTTTAGTCCTACCCATTTTGCTTTGTATATATTAATGAAAGATTTCATATTAATGAAATATATTTTAGTATGACCTTTCTGGATAAACACCTGAGCAACAATACATCAAAATCATACTTATTATGTAATTTTAAGTAATATGTTTTTTTTTTTTTTTATTTTGAGACTGCCATGTAAATAATTTGTAGACGCTACTAGTAAAAATTGAGGTGAAAGAAATAGATACATTCTGGAATCACTTTAAAATAAATTAGTTATCTACAGTTCAATAGCACAAACTAAACTAATGGAAATCTGAGGAAGAATGTCACTGAACTGGACTTCCACTGGAGACCTGGATTATAAAACAACGGGTGAAGATCCATGTGAGGCCACACCCACATTGAGGCCACGCCCACATTGAGGCCACACCCACACTGCAGCTCACCTGCTCTCAAACTCTATCAGGTTGGGGCTGATGGCCAGATCTTTGTCAGGCACAGCTATGCATACAAGGAGAGAGGGCTGTCACTCCATATATATCATCATAGTGCAAACTGGATAGGGGACTGGGGTGTCATCATGGGGGGGTACCTGTCTGTGGGGGGATGCTGGGAAGGTCTGAGGGCTTTGGGTGCATCAAGACAAAAGGCAGCTCCACAGCAACGTCCCTAAGGAAAACAGTGCATCATGGGAAACCAGGACACTGGAGCCCTGAGGACAGTTTATTTTAAGAGAGTAAAGCCAGTTGGGAATTGGGTTATTAAAATAAACCTTTTCCATTAAAAGCCTAATACAAACCAAACAAAAACCTATAAACACATTTTAAAATTTTATCCCTAGTACACACTGGTAACAAAAACTTTTGGCCCCTTACCCTCCTCGTGACACCACCAGTTTGACTTTGACCCTATACGACACAAGAATTCCCAGGACTTCCTTGTTGGGTACATCCTTCACTCTGAGACAATAAGCAAACAAACAAACAAGCAAACAAACAAACAAAAAACATCAGCAGACAGGAAAACTGAGAAAAGTATTCAAACCACCAGAAGAGCATAACAAATTACAAATGTACAGTTATCCCAAGTGTAAACAATCGAATTATGTGGAAAGAGAACACTGTATATACGAGGTAGGTCATTATAACTATATGGGAATATATAGTATATGTTCATGTATGTGGTATATATAGTTATTGGGTACATTTACATTCTATCAGGATGTTTAACTGCGCTATATTAGCATGACTTACAAACATGTTGCCTATTAGATTTGGCGATATAAATGAATATGAGCAGTAGGGTTGGGGTCATTCCAGAATACATTCATCAATTCCAGTCCAAATCAGGAAATGGAACTAGAGTTGGAATTTAAATCTCCCTGAAATTTGAATTCAATTCTAGTTCTGTTCCCCATAGTTTGTTTTCCAGTCCCAACTCATTCCATTTCCTGATTTGGATTGGAATTGATGAATGCATTCCAGAATGGCCCCAACCCTGATGAACAGTGTATCAGTATAATGGTGTTTGTTGTGTAACTATAAACACAGTGTACATGTGCAGCAGTGTGTAAGGTTGACACAAGACTGGTATATAAGGGGCAACTCCGTGCCCCTCTCACATGGTGCTGGAGGCCAGGTTGGTGTCCTCATGCTTCAGCTTGCCGTCTAGAGCCAGGCCTCGCTTTTCCTGGTTATTGCTCATTGTAGGGGTTAAGGTGTACACCTTGCAGAAGGTGGAGCTGGAAGACACCTGGTCACTAGGGAAAAGCGGAGTTATGAGAAAATGGGCAATTAGAAAACCTGTTCTTGAGTAAATCTAGTGAAAAGGATGTTAGCTGATGAACAGGTTTTGTTTGAATAATGTTCCTCTACAGTCCTCTCTGTTTCTCAATGCCTCTAAGTTTCTCTGTTTTCCCATTTCACACATAAATTTAACTGAAATGTTATCTAAATGACAGCTTTATGGATAAATTCAAAAACACATATGACTAGATGGGCTGGTTTACAGAAAGAATGCTTTAAACAGGTTGGTGGGAAATGTAGTTCTGTGAAACAAATCAAGTCTAAGTGTGTTTTCACATACAGTTCATTATAAAAGAACCAAACTCAGTCACTTAAAGTGGACCAGAAAGTAGTCCAAGAGAAAGGGAACTCAGTTTTCTTTGGATTCACATTGTCTATCGACTTCCAAAAGCACTTGGTCACTTTCTGGGGTACTTTAGCTTTAATGTGGTCTCAGTCCATTTCACATTCACACTTGGTCTTTTTGGACACTGAACTGATCATGGGAGTCGCTTCATCCTCAACTAAATGGCTGTGCCTATGCTGGCAACATTGAAGCTGAAATTGAAAACCTTTACTGTCATTGCACATTTGTACAACGAAATTTAGAGACTCTACGGTTTGACAACATGTGCTTTATTGTTGTTTTTGAAATAGTGCTCCAACAATAACATAAACATCCGCCTTATTTTTCATGCTACTGACAATCCTTGTGTCATTCTTACCTGAAACACAGGTATCACTGTAAAGCACTATTCCATCACATTAATTTAATTTTGCTTAACTATTGAGGACTGTTACAAATTAGTGTAATCTATCTGAAGAATTCATAATGTATTGACATTTGTGACATTATCCTGTCATAGCCAAAAAGCATAGAGAAAAGTGAAGCAGGCTGGACGCACTTTCTGTTTTCATATTGTCAGCGAATCAACCAAGTCCAAAAGTGGACTTTAACCGAATTTAGACCATTTCTTGAGTTGGTCTGAGTTTGCATTGCTTCTGGAGGGTCTGACCTTGTTAGGAGTATTCACACACGGCCAGCATTGTGGGAGAATCACACAAACTACAACTAATTCCAGGAGAAGCAAGCAAGCAAGCAGCAATGACTGAATAACACAAGAGTGATTTCTAAGAAAAAGCACAGTAGTGAAACACAAAGCCAGAGAAATGAAAAAAGTAAAATGTGTCAAGTGCTTAAATAATTAAGTACAGCGCAGGGAGAGTCCATAGTGATGGATGAATTAAGGGTATGTTACTTACTCAGCCTCGACATGAGCTACGGAACACTTGTACTGCGCTGTGCTGAACAAGCAGATATCTGCATACTGCCGCACTGAGGAGAGGAACAGGAGGAACAGAGGGGTTAACTCAGACACAGAAATGCCTAACATCTACGTTAGCTCACACATTAAGAGGATGGCGAAATCTGAGAAAGGAGGGATAGAGGGGACAAAAACAAACAACGAAGGTGAAGAGTACAGTGCTCCACTGTGCTTTCGCCTCACCGGATATTTTGATTTTTTTGACAGTCTTGGTAGAGTTATTGGTGACGTGGACATTGACATTAACAGGCTCTCCATGGTAGTACAGCTGGAAAGAGAGAGAGGAAAAGAAATCAGCTTCTCGTCTAACGAGGTCACCAGGTGTGAGTGTGCACTACCTCCTTGTCCAGCGAAGCCTCCAGGTGCAGGGAGTGGTCAGACATGAGGAAGCTACGGGTCGTCTCCACCATAGGCTGGGGCCCAGGAATCTCTGGAGCATACTGCACCTTCCTGATGATCAGCCGAACAGAGTTCCTGCAGTTCCACACACAGGATTACCCATATATGGGATATATCTAGATCTATATTTACAGACAACAGAACAGCTAAAAACAGCAACAGAGGAGAAACCTATTTTACCTTTTGTGAATTTTTTCCTCCGCTGATTTGGCGCAGAAAGCTCTAATCTCAAAGTCGACCCCACATGCCTATAAAGCAGATGAGAATTCAGTGCTCCTGTTGTTGTGTGTTTTGCAAATCTAGCCGAAGGTTCCTACCTTTCCTGTGTCCTCTGGGCCAGGCTGTAGTGTGACTGAACATGGCAAATTCTGTGGAATCTGGAACAGAAACGGATAGATTATGTTACTGAAACACACAATACGTTACAGAGATATAATAGAGTAGCTGCATGTACAGATGCAGCCATATGTATTGATACCCTTCCACTCTAATCACAATTTTCTGTGAAATAAGCTAAACTGCCAAAAGTAATTGGCATCCACCACTCTTTCTTCCATATTCCATAGATCAGACACTTTTGCATTTGATTTATAGCTTATTGTATTGTTGTAGGGACGGCACAGTGGTACAGTGGTTAGCACTGTTGCCTGGGACCTCAGTTCAAGTCTCTGCCAAGGTTCCATGTGTGTGGAGTTTTGCATGTTCTCCCCGTGATGTGGTGGGGTTTCCTCTGGGTACTCCGGTTTCTCCCCACAGTCCAAAAACATGCTGAGGCTAATTGGAGTTACCAAATTGCCCGTAGGTGTGTTTGTATGAGTGAATGTGTAAGTTTGTCCTCCCATGGGTTGGTGCCCCATCCTGGGTTGTTTCCTGCCTTGCGCCCCTAGGCTTTGTACTTTCCGCAACCCTGAAGTGGTTACAGAAAATGGATGGATATATTATTGTAAATAATTTAAAAATTGCATGGAAAAAATTACTGGAACCCTTTAGAGGGTAAAAGAAATTGTACTGCAGTGAAATGTCAAGCAGACTATTTACTTTAATTAGTATAAAAGGTGTCTTCAGTATCATGATCAGTCAATTTGAACTGAGAAAAATAATCACATGGACAACAAAAGCAAAAGCAGAAAGTTGTCTGAGAAGGAAAGCAAGAAGGTATGAACCAAACATGGTCAAGGAGAAAGCTACAGGACCGTCCCCAAAGAGCAGCATGCTCCTTTGATAACAGTGACTAACATTATCAAGAGGATTAAGTAGCGGCCATATTTTGATTTTCAAAAAAGAGGACAGTGGGGGCAGGATGTAAAGAGAGGCATTGAAGTGACATAAATATGCACACAGAAAGTATATTGACTATAAAAAGCAAATGTAAACATGAAACAAAGATTCAGAAATTGTAGACATTTCAGGCAATTTACAAATCCGGGCAGGACACATTTTTAGGTCTCAAAAAAAGAGGACCAGTTCGGGGAAAATAGGACATATGATCACCCTAGTTTAAGGCAACCTCCCTGCACATGGATGCAAGAGAAAAATTGACTGGAGATTGGATAGTTAATTCTCCTACATTTGAACTAAGTTAAACATCAAAACATATCCAAACTGACCTCCAGGATCAAGGTACAACAGTTTCAAGCCGCATCATCCCTTGCTAACTGAATAAAAGTAGGTTCCACAGAAGAAGAACCCACTTCCGAAAGACAGACACAAAAAAGCTCAACTGGAGTTTGCTAATGTGCATGTTGATGAGCCATGGACCTTTGGACAGATGAAACAAAACTCAAGGTTTTAGTTTTTGTCACAGCAGCTCTATGTTCACAGAAGACAAAACGATACTTTCAAAGGAAAGAACACCATCCCTTACTATTAAATGTGGAGGAGGTTCAGTAATGTTAAGGGGTTGCTGTGCAGCTTCTGGCATTGGGTGAATCTGTGCAAGGCACAATGAAATCAGAGGACTATCAAAGCATTCTGGAGCAAAATTTACTGCCCAGTGTTAGAAAGCTCCATATCATTTGCAGGTTATTGGTCATCTGGCAGGATAATGCTCTACCATACATCTATGAGCATCCCAAGAATGGTTGAAAAAAAAACGTGGGACTGTTCTGAAGCAGCCTTCTATGGGTCCTGTTCTGAATCCAAATGAACATCTATAGAAAGAGCTGAAACTTGCAGTTGGGAGAATGAACCAATCAAACCTAAGAGAACAGGAGCAGTTTGCATCAAGAAGAGTGGGCTACATTACTCACTGAGCAGTGCAGAAGACTCATTCAGAGCTATAGAAAGCGCTTGATTGCAGTTATCATTTCAGAAAAGCATGGTACAAAATATTAGGTTTGGGGTCTCAATAATGTTGTCCATGTCATTTTCATTTGTTTTATAATTTACAATAATATGTTAAGCCACAAATGAAAAGGAAAGTGCCTACTTTATGGAATACAGAATTAAGTGGATGCCAATTACTTTTGTCAGTTTCAACTTATTTCATGTAAAATTGTGATTTTAAAGGTACATGTCTGTAGCATGTATATAGAATGAGTAGCGAGTGCCGTATTAATGTTAGTATTCTGACTGAAATGCCGTTTTCGCGATGACTCACAGTGAAATGGAAGGGATGTGCATGTTGACCCAGCTTCTTCAGTAGCTTCTCCTGCAAGCGGCTGTATGGCTCTTCAGACAGTGCTGGGTAGGCCTGGAAGGTGGAGATGTAGAGGTCCTTCCTGAAGGACAGGCCTAATACGTCCAGGTCCTCGCGCCCGTACCGGAATGCGCATGTCAGGGTCACAAACACTAAGGGGCAACAGCTGAGTTAGCTGGTCTACCAGGGACATACCACACACACACACACACACACACACACACACATACACACTGTTGACCTCTATACTGCCCCACAAAGGCAAAACACAGTAACTACACCAACACTGAAACTGAGCAGAAAGGCTTTGAAAGGCTTAATGGCCACACATATGTGTAGTAGGAAGGTAATGATAGTGTTTTCTTCAAAACAAAGCATAGCTGAACTAAAATATTTCATCACACAATAAAACAGAGCCAAAAACATCAGATTTAGGTCATTATTCAATTTTGATAAAATACACAGTTACTGTCTTTTGCTGGTGGGCAGTGGTGACTTAATGGCGGACTTAACAATGCACTTGTAAATGAAAGATTGTTGGTTTGAATCCCCGACCAGCAAGGTACCGCTCCCAAGCACTGCTCCCTGGGTGCTGAATTAGCTGCCCCCTGCTATGTCATGATGTCACATATGGGTTAAAAGCAGAGGACATATTTTGTTGCCGTGTGCTGTAGTGTGTCAACACTGATTACTAAATTCTTTTGTGAAGCAGTATACACTTGATATAAAACTGGAGGGGCAACATATTTTCCAATAGCAAACACATAAATCCATGCATTTATCGCACTGGAATTTTAAACAGCCGAAACCTTAAGTGGTTAGTCATAAAAATGCTATCCTTTAAACCCACAGCCGGAGACTGTGGGACTTGTACCAAGAGACACATCATACAGCAGGTAGAGATAAGGAGGTCTGTTATAGCTGTACCTTTCCTGTCTTTCAAGTAGTCTGGGTCCACCAGGATCACACCATCTAGAGAGACACGTGTTAGAGAAGGTTTAAACAGCAAACAAACACACCGTTCTGTTCTGAGCACTCTATGCATGGATATGATTCTTTTGTCACATTGCCTGATGGGATTCCTTATTCTCTTCATGACATCATAATTATTCTACGAAGTGAAGTAACATTTGTCTGTCACCCTACCATCATTACAAAACCAGCCCTGTTTTCACAGTCTGTCATTATTTCTGTTTGCATTTATATAAGTTTGTCTGGGTTTATCTCAATCACAGATATGATAAGCAGATTCTGAAATCTTTCTCTGCTTACAATCATATTCCATAAACTGCCCCCCCCACATACTCACCCACAGGGTCCACGTGATTCAGGTGGTCTATGAAGTCTCTCTTCCCCAGGTAGACTGTCAGCTGATAAGAAGGACATGGAGTTCAGACTATCAAGGAGTCCAACTCACATACTCCCATACACAAACTTGCAGAAACAGACCATAATACTATACCTTACAGTTAGGGCTTGACTTCTTAAAAACTCTGAAGGAGAGACAGAGATAGATTCAGGTCAGCAGCAAGACAAAAAATTTGCCCTGGAATGCATAGTCTGCATAAGCAAGGTCCAATGTGTCAGATGGGTCAGTGTAGCAAAAATGAACAGATACAGGACATATACAAACTATAGAAAAAGAGAATTTAAACATAACAAGGATGTGTTAGCCTTGGGTGGTATTACAGCAGTATGGTATATTGTGGTATTTTGAGGAACAAACTACACAAACAGTACATGTTTTTCCATAACTAACAGTGGTGATCCTCACCTATACTAAGCATATTAAGTCACTGGCAATAGACTCCATTCAATAGTTACTTCAGCTTGGCGCTTGGCCTATTGAACATTTTTCAACAGGCATCACAATGAAGGACTAGAAATGGAGAGAGCGCTGAGTAAATGGCAAAAGCACAATGAAACAGATTCACAGCTAATCTGGGACTTAATCATCATTAGCTATAAACAGACTCAAACAATAATGCACCAGGATTATCAGTACATGTACTTAACTAGCTAAAGAGACATTGAAGCCAATTCTGAGCCATGTACCAGATCACACTGGAGTACCACCCATTCAGCTAAAAAAAACAAATAAATAAACCCACACATATGTGCACACATGTGCATGCACGCACGCACACACGCACACACACACACACACACACATTAAATAGGTTTTGCTTTGTTGCTATGGTGGCAAGCTGGAGTATTCCCTGGTTCCCATGGCAACTGAAGGAGGAAAAGAAGAAAAAAAAGCATTTTTTCACCAGTGAGACAGGTCATGGTCCAAGAGGGTACAGGTGGTATCACAAGCCCGTACTTCTAACAGCCTGGCCACACACACGTCCAGTTGTCATAGTGTTGCCCCACAAGGTGTCTGGTAATTCACTGAACAACATATGGACTAGCTACATCTTTCTGCAAATGAAGCAAATTCAAGAAAGTGGAATAGTGAGCAGAAGGTCCAGCTGGTATAAAAAAAACTCTGCCTGATTAAAACATTCAGCTGTGTGAACACAATTCCCCAAAGGTAACAAAGGCAACCAAACATAAATGTTACTGTGCCATTTTTATATCTTTTCATGGGAAAAGAATATGTGGCGCGGTAGTGTGGTGGTGCAGTGGTTCGCGCTGCTGCCTCACAGCAAGAAGGTCCTGGGTCCTTCCCGTGTGGAGTTCGTGTGGGTTTTTGCCGGGGGCTCCGGTTTCCTCCCACGGTCCGAAAGCGTGCAGGATAGGTTGATTGGTGAGTCTAAATTGGCCCTGTAGTTGTGTGAGTGTGTGTGCCCTGTCGTGTGTTGGTTCCTGGGATAGGCTTCGGTCCCCCCCCCCCAGTTGGGATTCAGCTGTTTCAGAAGATGGATGGGAAAAGAATATATATTCATATTCTATTTCTGAGCATTTCTCTCACATAAAAAGTGGGGGGCAGTGCTCAATCCACAAGGTTGATTGAGTTAGAGGGGTACATATACCACATGCTACCATTTTGGTAATACACATGAGTCATTTAAGAGATGAGCGCTTCCTCAGAAGAAATCAGTGTCAGTGAAGAAAGTTACAAGTCAGCAGCCATATGTTTTAAAAAGGAGATATTGTGGATTAACAAGGTAAATAGACGACCATGTCATGGTGGTATTCCAGCAATTTAAAATCTGGTGCTGTGTATTGAAAACTCTTCGGAAAACTAGTGCCAGCTAAAACTGAACATACTGTCAACTTATTTCACCACTTGAATCAATGCTATCCAGTAGAACATATAGAACGCAAGTGCTTACAGTCACAGACGCCAACATTTAGGGCATTCATTTTCAATCTGAAGAAATACAGGATAGATTCCATTTTATTTTTCAATATAAGATGGGTAGCAGCTCTATCAGCAATGTCAAACCCATCCCCTATACATGCAGGAAGGCAATCAGAGAAAAAATCCAGCATCAAACAGTGCTGACAGCATTTTCTAGTATTATACCAAAAGTTTCTTTATTGGTTTATTTATTAAAAGTATATTTCTCTTTTTATGTGCTGAATCCATTTAACGGGAATCCTAACGGAATGTTAAGCAAAGCCTTAAATTAGAGTAAGAATGTATTGCATCATAATTATATTATCGTGATAAAATATTTTGGCATATTGCCCAGCCATACCGTCACACTGTCCAGACATTATACTGCAGTGCGGTACACAGTATTTTGATGGTATTTTGAAAAGCAAGCTATTCTGGGTATTTGGGGGGAGTGTGGTTAGACCCCCAGAATAAATCGCCCCCCCACTCAGCTAATTTTGTCATCATAATAGGACCCAAGCCTAATTTCAACTTCTAAAGATCAGGATCTCTAGGAGCTTCTGAAGACAATAACTGTTTTGCCTGCCACAGTGCACCCTGGTATCTCTATAGCATCAACAGTACATCCCCAAAAATTTCTCAACCTCCTCAAACAGCCTTTCCAGATCAGTAGCTCCTTTTCCATATGTTCTTAATTAGTCATACCTTTTCCTTTTGAGATTGTTTTTGACTGACTTTGAGACTCTCCACTCTCTCGCTACATTTCATCTTGGTCAATTACATACAGTAAATTCATCCAAGTATTAGTCAATCATAAAACAGCACAGAAATAAACAGCAGACTTCATTGATTAATTTGTCATAATTACACAGCTTCTGATAACTATATATTTTAGATGGTTGTGTTATTAGCTGTTTCAGTTTGATTACAACAAGACAAGCACATTTACACCCAAAACGGTATTGCCTTGGGCTACACCAACTTCTCATTAGATAAAAAGGAAGTAAAGTTAAAAGAGAGTAAGGAGAAAAAGCCCCAGGGGCATTATTCCATTTGAATTCAATAAATGGCCTTTGTGTAACCATTTTTGGTTTTGAGGAAATTTAGCATGTGAATCACACATACCTTCCAGACCTCAGAAATGTTTTATGTTGTAAAAAAATCATTTGTGATATAGCACCCTTTCTACACAGTGGGTATAAAACAATCTATTAATCAGGGTGTTTTCTTTAGAAAGAATTACTATTACAACTATACATGGCTCAACTACATTTTAATAGAAAGCTCAAAAAGAGTACCTTTTCACGGTATGGCAAATATTTTTGGAAATGTATTGAATTAAAATGGAATGACCCAGGGCTATCCATTCTGTTGTAGCCCTAAGGAACACTGAAATGACTCTTTACAAATATTGAACTGTCTAAATTAACCCAGTGTAAAAATTTAAGAGACGCTGCTGGGCTGATGAGTACTTGCATAGCCAATATACCCTGACCCCATGACACTCGCCATTGTCACTGCTAATTTCCTGTATCCAACATACAATAATCCATAGAAGGCCAAATGCCTGTTTTCCGTTTAGTTTTCATACATACTGTGTGACAGGAAGACAGTTCTGTTCTTTGAGAGGTAACAGAGCATATGATTATAATGTGACAGAATTATAATGAAAACATGGGACTTTTTTAAATGACAGATGTGAGAGTCAGAATAACTGCCTCTGGTAGGGCACCTTTAAAATTTTCATCTGTGCCTTTGCTGGGAAACCCATGTCACGGCTAAGAAAAGCACAAAGATGACCACAATAGAACAAGAAAAAATACAAGAATGTGACAGCCACCAAGAATGTGCAGGACTATTTTAAAGGGACCATTTTTTTCCCTTGTAATGTTACCATCGGTTTGTCTGCCTCTGTTCATTTCTCTCAGTGTGCTTCAAAACCGCCCAAAACCGGAAATTCAGTATGGGTTTCTACCTACCAAGGTCACAATCGTCACAGTCCCAACTCCTCCACATCGTTGTAAAAAAAAATGTGAAAAAAAAGAATAAACTTGGTGATCTATGATATTAAATCTAAGATATCTGAGAGACTTAGATAAGAGGTGACTCCCTGACAGACGCACATCCAGTGAGCATCATGGGTCAGCAGTGATAACAAGCTGTGCCTCAGATCATGCAAGTAGCTGCCACACATACATCATGCCAGCATTCATAGCTTGGGAGACCAAGTCCAACGCAGTCCTTGTCTCTACTGGATAATGGTTCGCTTAATAGAAAAAACTTTCTCCATGGAAACTTTTAGAGAACATTTTACAGCCTCGGTAGACCAGTCATTCAGTATCAACCGACGCAAAGTCTCTTGCTCAAGAGTACAGCGCAAGCAAAGGCACTGGGATTGTGAAGCAAATATTACAGTATATTCGTGGATCACAAATAGCTGCTTGTATGGTCTGTAACCTGCTCAACTGAAACGGATAGAACCAAATATTTCCTCCAGATGCCAAACCAGCAACCAGAAGGGGGGGGGGTACAAATCAAATACTTTGCTTTTTTTATTTTATTTTAAATGACAGCACACATAAACCCTATCAGCAGGAATGCATAGACACGTTGCGGCAGTGTCCGTACACCATTCCCTTTATAAATCCCCGGACAGACAGTTCACGGCTCCCTTCTGATATTAAGCGCTTCACTCACACCGAAACCCCCGCTTCCCCGTTACCGTTACCATGAACGCGTCCTCATGAGGCGCGGTGACCTACCCTCATAACTGTATATCAACCCCAAGTGGAACCACCTCGCAAACGGAGACCGTATCCACCCCGCAGGTAATAACCTGGTAGCCGGTTAGCGGACACGGGCAACTCCACAAGCCCCTAACCCCAAAATCAAGCTCGGCGCTTTTTCCCCCGAGTGTGGTGCCTGCGAGGCTGAATTAAAAGCAACCATAAAGATCATGTCTTACCTGGTGCCCGCCATGTCCTCCATCACTGTACACGTATATGTGTGTATTTTATACACCGAAGTATTTCTTTTAGGGTCGTAGTTAAGCAGAATATCACCCCCTCACGCACGAGACCCCGATACTGCCCTGAGGTGCCAGCCGCCCGGTAGTTGGAACGCGACAGCGATCCAGAGCCCACCCTCTGACGGAGACTGGCGTTCCTCCCGCCCAATCAGAAGCGCTCACACATATGATTCTGGCCAATCAGAGGCCGAAATGCCACAATTTCGAGATCACCTGAAATGAGTGACCGGGATTTAAAACATTGTGATGGGACACCGAAGGAAAGTCTTATTTTGAGATGAGAGACTTACAAATAATATGACAAAAAACTTTAACGGTGCGTTGTATGTATTTATGCATATTTTTCTTTATGTTGTTCTCAAAAAAGTACCACCTCATATCTCTCGTTGCAGATTTAGCATCACTGCAGGTCACCCTGTTTTAAGAAAACAACGCGTGACCCTATTCAGAAGTTAACATGGCTGTTATTTCACTCAAGATATCATTAAAGATGTTGCAGAATTAGTACAGATCTCCGTTTACTTGTATCAGTACACCCAGGAGGAAAATACATCAGTTCCTAGGATTTTATACATATTTCATTGGCTTAAAGAACTAAAGAACACTCAGGGTCAGTTTATAACATTTTAAAAAATATCTCTGACTACCACCCCGGAGACTTAGACTGCAAACTGTAGAGCTATTAATTTTATGTACAAAGCAGAAATTTGCTACTCAGTCTTTGCAATTTTCTATCCGCTTTGATGGTAGATGCTGATGTCTGAGTGACTATCACAGATGTAAAGAAGACAACACACAACACAACAATTTTAAAATAATTTTAACAGTTAATTTTTTTTTTTTGCTACAAAAGGCACTCTCAAGCCGATAAGATAATAGGAACCTGGTATTTCTACACTTTTCAAACTTGCATGGAACACACTGGTCATGGTAGTTGGTGTCGGGTTGTGTCGATATCACTGACAGTAGCATGTTCACACTGGTTTACATTGTTTTGGTCTGTTTTATTTTTCGATCACCATTACAGCAAAGCTATTTCTTGTAAACAATCACTGTAGCGTAAATGGCTTAAGTGAGGTGAGGGGTTACTATGCTGTTACTACCCTGATATGCAATCAACACTACTCAAAGACAATTAAAGAGTACAACAAAGCATCAAAATGGCCAATTGTAATGAATCAATTATCAAACATTTATTTATTCATACATCATTTGAAAACTTCAGTGTTTTCATTACAAACGCACCCTTGGGACCCCCTGTAAAAGAATACTGCATTCCATAGGTGATTTATCACCTATTTAAAATAGTATAGTTATTCGGAATAGAATAGTTATTCAGAATTTTTTTTTTTTAAACCTGCAGATTTGTTACCCTTCTCATCCAACTTTATGCTTTAAGGACAATTGCTGACAGCTCACCAGTTCAAAAGGCCTCTATTTCTTATGAACAAGCATCAGGGAAATTGACCATAAAAATGTAACATACAGGCAGGAAGGGTGTTGAAACAACACAGAGGTCACTGCTATAGAACACTGCACTTTGACAAAACTATTAAAGAGGTATGGTGAGAATCTAGAATGATGGCTTTATTCCTCAGGAGATTGTGTGAATGGTAACATTTAATAACATTCAGTATTGTTTTAATATTGATTACTCAATCACTCTTATCTTAGATAAAACCACCAGACTGGACTAATCCCAGCTCAAGCAAAAACATGGACTGCTTGGGGGTCTCTGAGGAACAGGTTAAGAAATCCTGCTCTGTGAGACCTTAAGGAGGCTCATAACTGGGTGCAAACTTTTCATTGATCAGTTCCATCTACCCGCCTTGCGGACAGTCACATCTGTTAGGCTGCGAATTCAGATTAATGCATTCATCATGTGTCTGAAAGAGAGAACCAGGGATTGCTATTAACCTGCTACTTCATGTGTACAGCAGCGAAGCAGAACATGAGGTATCGATTTCCTGATACATCTTTAAGATTTGGTCAGTCCAAATTGCATCATTTAAAATATCTCACACATGTCAAAGGGTTGTTTTAAGCAGCATGGATACACTGTCAGTAAATTTGTGCAAATGAAGCTTCAGCTTCGAGGGGTTCAGAGGTTGTTGTGGGGTAGCTGTGCAAGTTTAAGACAAATGGAGGCCATATTGTCGTCCTCAGGGCAGAAGATACAGATGTTACTTCTTCACTCCCACCTGAGGAAATGCCAACCATAAGGAATGAAGGATGAGGAATCCCACATGAAATTTCTTTCAACTGACACGTGGACATGCTAGATTCAGGGTGTGGCAGGGCTTTATTAGATGCGTATAGTATAAGAGTCTGAGTGGGTGACATAGCGCACCCAGCGCGGAGATGGGTTGGGCTGGACTGGGGTTAGGCGGAGGAAGCGGATCTGCAGGCCTGTACAGGTGTGCTTTGGCAGCTCAAAGCTCATACTGACCGGACCTACTTCCAGTAGTGAGGCAGCACTCAAGCCTGGGACCTCAAGCTGGGGAGAAGAGGAAATGATGGTTGGCAGGCAAGTCTGCAGGCGATTCCTGCAACTGAATCTATGGACTTCTTAAGACCTTACATACTTCTATTTGCAGACATGACCAAGCTTTTTATAAATGTTTCACCAGACACACAAATCAAATGGAAAACAAAGGCACTGATTGTTCACTGTTCTGAAATGCACAATTTACTCAACCTCTGTTGGGAACCTGTCTGTCAATATGGAAAAAGTGCATGATTGGTTACCTTGAAAAGTGCAGACAGCTGAGCGCCACCCGGAAAGCGAGAGATCTCCCAATGAACTGCTTTGCTGCTGGGCTGGAGCTCCGCCCTCTGGTCTGGGCTGCTGAGCTCTTGGGACATGCTTATAGCATAAGGACACAATAATGGCAGTGTTATGAAAAGAGTATGACAAAAGGTTAGATGTAATGACAACGGCAGGGAGAGGAAACATGGCCCCCTTACCTTAATGAGCCCTTGGGTATAGGTACGGTAACAGAAACATTTATGGCAGCGCTGTGACAGAGAGACAAACACCAATATGTGTCAGTACGTGTGCAACAGGAAACCGACTAGACAAAAGTGCAAAACCCAGAATGGAAAAAGGCTGCATTACTTGACCAAAGAATCTTAAAAACCATGAAACGGGAAAAAAAAACCTCCTTATTTGATAAGATACACGGTAAAATTTAAACGACAAACACACAGTAAGTACAGGCCAGTTTATAGGGCTGTGAAGATCACTGCGTTTAACTCCCTCAATGTGAAGTGGATTCAGAACAGAAAGTGATGTCTAATTCACATTACAGCTTTATAGACATTATAGACAAAAGTCAATGGAAACTGAAGTGGGGAACACAGCAGAGCAGGCAAAGGACGGATTTGTATCTTGAAACTTTCCTCTTATAACCATTTTAAAGGATAAGGTTTTATGCAAACACGACATTCTAAACATGTAACTTAGCAGAGAATATAGTCATGACATTTACCTTTTGGGTGGCAGGTCACATCTGAGTTTCAGGTAAATTAACAGCCTTTTTTGAGCAAAAGGGAGAACATTCAAGAGATGAGAAAGAGAACATAAAGGAATTTAATAACAGATATGCATAATAAGACAAATTGTTATAAGAATTCTGAATAGACTAGCATAAGTGATATGAGATTTATCAAAACCCTGGCTGAGAGATTAGTTTTAAATATGTTATAACAGGATACTTTTGGACACAGAACATGAAGTGGAGGCAAAGGAGAGGAACTGGAACAGCTTGCAGCCAACATACCGGTCACTTTTATCTCTCTCCACTGTGGGGAAGAGTTGAAATGGAGGTGCAGAGGGCAAGTCATCACATAGCTGGTACTGCATCACCGTTTGCTGGAAGAGAAGAACAACAGAGGGAAGCAAGTTAAGTGGCAGTACAGACAGAGCAGTGCCGAAGGACCTTGGATCAGTGATTAAAGGGTATGTAGAATGGTTGCCATAGCTACCTCCCCCTGACTAGGACAGATTTTCAGGATTCTGTAACTGTCAAACTCATCTAGTCGCACAGCCTGGTGGAAATTGCACTCATCCACTCGCACTGCAGCCCCATAACCTAACGGAAGGAGAGAAGAAAGGGAAGAGGAACCGTTATTGGTGTACACAATGTGTTGTTTCTTTTTAGGGCAACAAGCACTTGGTCACGTGAAAGAAGTTTTAGCCGAAAGGGGGCAGTACACACCTCGTTGCTGGGACTTCCCAACACTGAATTCCTCATTAAGCCCAATCCTCATCTCTGTGCAAAGAGAGAACATTGATATCAGATTGGAAAGAACAGGGGAGCCAAGGGACTTTGAGGCCACCCACCCAGCTTTTTTGCTTAGATTCTTTTATCTGGATATTCTGCAGAAGGTATTGTGACAAAGAAAACTGACAGAAAACTTGGCACAACAGCAGCATCCATCATTAGATTTGTACTAGCAATACCAGGATTAGAAGTCCATAAGCACCAACCCAAGTGCTGTCTTTGGGACCTCAAGAATCCTACCTGAACAGGTGGGCAGGTAGCATTTCACCTTGATCTCACCCTGAATGTCCACCTTCATCAGCACACCCTATACCAAAGACAGGCACAGAGAGTTATGAAGGCCTAAGACAGGAGGCTGTTTAAAACGCTGACTGTTCCGAGTTACTTCAAAGCACACCTTAAGAACCCAGTAGCACTCAGGGAGGGAGACTCACGTTAGCGCCGATGACCACCGTTAGCCGCTCCACCACATCCACGAAAATCTCATTCTTCCCTCCCTAGAGCCAGAATCAAGGACAGATTGCAAGCCGTACAAGTATACATTGCAATGCCTTCTCTACAAATATTGGATATTTTGGTGGTACATAAAGCCAGTCACAGGGTCACTTATGTTTCCCCCAGACAGTCCATGTTTTTGCTCCCTAATGGGAGCTCAGAGGGAGCAGAAATGTGGACTGTCTGGGAGAGAGCTGGGAGGGAGCGAAAACATGGACTGTCTGGGGACCAGCTTGGTAAACACAGCATCATTTCTCACCAGTGTAGCTCACCTGATCGCCACGGCTTGACATAATGGGCCTACTGGCAGATGCACTAGGGGTAACTCTACTCTGCTGGGTTTCTGCACCGAACTGCAAGCAATGAGACATGGGAAGGGGAAACATTTAAAATATTTTGAGATCAATCAAGAAGAAGAAGAAAATGTGCCTTACCAGTCCCACATTACTAAGGTCAAACAGGCTAAAGGGTTTGGAGCTAACAGCCTCTGTCTGGATAAAGTTCTTTAGAATGTCTGTAGAGGTGGTCTGGATGTAACCATAGTCCTGGGTGAGGCAGAGGAGAACACAAAGGGGTGAGATGGCAGCCATCCAACCAGAAGGATATGACCAAACGAGGATATATTATGGCCAACTCACCAGCATTTCATCCAGCATCTCATAAATTAGGGCAAAGTTCATTCTGACGGACTTCTCAGAGAGACTGCCACAGTAGTCCTTAATCAGTGCTGCCAATCTAGGCGACACGATCACCTCACAAATTCACACAGTTACTTATCTGATGCTTTCATTCAAAATGACTACAATTTAACAATTAAATGATCTTTGCAAAAAAATAATATTATCATAATGCTTAAAAAAACTTTTTTCAACAAGACATCATTTTAGGTAAGCAAGTAGTATAGAGAACAGTACTGGCATTTGTAACTAAAACACTGCCCAATTATCAGGGAATACACAAAAATTAATATTAAAACATAGTGTTAGCACTTCTTATTAACTTAATTTCCTTCAGCAAACATACAGGATCATAAACAGAGAACAGTAATGCAGTATGACCACATTATTCAGGTACAAAACGTGATTTTTGGGGGTCTTTTGGCTTCTAAAAAACAACATAAAAAGTAAATTGCCTGTTGAGGAACTCGATGATGGTGAATGGGGAGGCATTGGTGGTTGTCGTGGCAACACAGTACAGCCCCCCCTGTCTGATGTGTATGAAGTGCAGCCCTTCACGAGTCTTCAGGGTACAAAACAGAAGAGGACACAGCGTATCAGTCAATATATACTGCAGGATGATGGACACTCATCGACAGGGTATCAGAGGTGTAATCAGATTGTCAGACGACCTGGCCAAACTAATTGCCACACCAAGAAAAAGATTCAAGACAACTTCAAAAAATATATCTGATATGTTACAAGTTGCTCTCCTGAAAGTATTACTCTACCTTTCTCATCTCAGCACAGTGCTCTAAGAAGTGCTACTGGGTTTGTTTGTTTGTTTAGTTTAGTTCATTAATTTATTCATTCATTCAAGCGGTTGATATCACAGTACAGTACCTGGTCCACCTCCCACTATGCCTACATTCACATTCCCTCATATTAACATATATACTTATCGAGTATTCTGTAAAATGCGATTGCAGTATTACGTAAACCAAGCAGCCTCATATGTATATTATACAGTGGTACCTCAGTTCTCAAACACATTAGAACTCGAATTTCTTAAAAGTCGAACCAACCAGTTCGGAAAAAATTACCTAGTAGTAGTACTCGATCTGAATCTCAGAAGTCAAACCCTGAACGCCAACCTAAGATAACTTGTATGCACGGGGAAATGAGTCACGCGGCGCGTCTCTCAGCAGAATCAAAGGGTAACACTTCAGTCTAGACAGATAGACAGTAACAGTGATTATTATTATATAATAAAATACATTTTAAAATATAAATTTATTATTCATTATTTTAATATTAATAATAAACCATTAATACATTTAATTATAATAAAATTGTCGTGCCCAGCGGGACCGGAACGGAGACAAAGGCGCAGATGTCAGGGTATCGGGGAATACGGGGTTTAATTACAGGTAAGGCAGGCAAAGCGCAGACGGACAATACAATGACCGGACTGGGGAAACAAACTGAAACGCGGACGAAATACGGAGGACTGATGACAACAACCAGAAACAGCTGATCACAAGGGGATTCCACACGGCGTTAATGAGGTGGCACACGGAAGGAGCGGACGATCGGGGCAGGACACATTGTTTTTTTTTTTAACTTTACACATTGTTTGGATACATTTATTTTCTTACTTTACAAATTACTGTTTTGATAAATGTGCTTAGATGTGTTTAGTACAGTATATGCTCTTCTTGTTTTATCCAGTTCATTTTGTGTTTAAATGCTAAAAAAACATATTTAGGTGTAATTTTTTTGGGGCCTGGAACCAATTAATAGGTTTTCCATTATTTCTTATGGGGAAAATTGGATCAGATCTTGAACTTTTTAGGATTCCATCCAGAGTTCTGAACGGATTAAGTTCGAGTTTTGAGGTACCACTGTATATACCTTTTCCTCTTGTGATCCTAAGTTGCTTGTCTTCATAATTGCAGTTAATCAATCTGTGATGTTATGGCTGTTTGCACATTCATTTGTGCATTGATAAAGTTTATCTATATTATCACCAAGGACCACTAAACCAAACAAGACATTTTGCAGGTTGCTTGGACAAGAATTCACAGCTATTTCTGCTCACAATTTTGATGTAGCCGCATAAACTTCCTCACTTGTTTGATTGCAATCCCAATACTTTTGCCTACATCTATTGATAACAAAAACTACAACACAGCTATAAAAGAATATCCACAAACTGAAATAAGATATGAAAATAAAATAAAACTACAGCCAAAAGAAAATGTATATAGCGTTTCTGAAAACTAAAATAAAAACAAATGGCAAATGCTTTCTGTTACTGTTTTTAATATTATTTAGCTAAAGTGATTATTTGTTTAGCTTTAATTATCATTAATAATACCTGAAGCATGTTTTGTCCATTTTGAGGACATACTGTACATACATACATAATGTACACTCTCTATTCATGTAGGATTCTCTAGAGATTATACATATAAAATAGCTCGACAATTTTCAGTCCATCCCTAGAAATAAAATTATTAAAACTCAAAGTGAAACTATATTATACAGAAACGAAAAAGAAATGTATATTTAAAATAAGAACAACTAAATTTTAGAAAATCAAATATATAATAACACTGGTCTAACTTAACTCGAGGTTTAAATTCCTCTGACAGTTTTGTAATTTTGCATATTAATAGTTTTGCACTTACCATGACAACTGGGGGCTGATCCCCAGGTAAAGCTGTCACCATCTGATAGAACACGTTGATAGCATCAGTGGTCGCCTCTCCCCGAACTGACACGGCAAACTAAGGACGCTCCAAACAGCAGACGAGGAAAGTTGTTGTGATAAATAGATTACACTCCAGAAAGGACGCATGTAGTGTCCTGCACACTGAAAATATGATCAGAATAAAAAGATGAAGGATACAGTCTTTGTAGATTAGATGATCTCCCTTAGACGACAATATAAAGACTTGGGAAATCATCTTCCGACGTATCAGCAAAAATACTAATAGAACAAAACATCAACAATTAATGTTAAAAAAACAACAATGAAATCCCTGTGGACTACGGACCATTCTGAAACATGGTTTTCAGTGCTGGGAATAGTCAGTACACTTTAACGTACACAATAAGCCATATGTATAATGTTACATTATAGGCATTATTAAAATGTTTATCATCAAGTTGTGCATTTATATGTTTGTCGTTGATCCGCCGAATGAAGACGACAAATTAATGGGTGAGTATAATATATTTCTCACCCTCATTTGTTAAATAAATAAGCTCCTATGTTCAAACTAAGGACAAGTTCATTAGCGAAAAACTAGCCACCAAGAAAAACTGAAAACACTCTACGTGTCGCAATGCGTGGTTACATCACGCGATTTCAGCCAATGGCAAGCGATGCTTTCGCGCAATGTATGGCGGGTTGTGTTTTGGTGTGTCATAGCTGCGCATCAAATGCCGCGAGATGAAGTATCCAAAAAGTACGTACCGAGCGTGGTTGTGTATCAGTAAGCTTTAACATTTAAGTATCAGTGCAAAATCGGGTTAATGACCTCACATGAGATCAGTTTTAAAGCGGTACGATCTTATAAGAGTGTATGGGGCCGTTTAGTGGCCTGTCTTAATTTACAAAAATCAGAGAGGTTGTGAATTTTAAGAATTTATATCTAAGTTCAATACGTTTTTGTAATATTGGTGCGGTTTACTTTGCTCACTGTAACTTGGAATGAATCTGTGAATACACTGATTATTAAGAGAGCGCGACCTACTAACTGCTTCGCTGTTTGCCAAATATCCTTCCATCCATTTTCTATACCCGCTTGTCCTGAGATAAATGGCTAAACAACGGCCAAAGGGAACTGCTTTTACCACTGAACTGACTTAAATTCCTTTCATAACGCAGAAAAAAATAAAGTCTATTGTAAGATTTACATTAATCATGGTGTAATTTATTATTGCTTTGTGTTACATTCAGGGCAACAGTGCCGGAGTGGATTCGTACTAATCATAACTGGCAAGATAACGAATAAAAGATAATGAAACTAAAAATAAGAGACAAATGAAAACAAACACACAAATAGGGAACGGTATGGTGGCTCATTAGCCAGGAATCCTGCTTTTACTCTGTGTGTGGAATTCACACGTTCTTCCCGTGTTGTGTTTCCTCCCATAAGAAATAAAGTTACGCCAACAGGTGTCTACGACTTGCTCATAGACTATGATTATGTATGTGCCCTGTGATAGACTGGCACCCCACCCTTGGTGTACCAAAGTATCCTCTACCTCTCCACTGATATACTATATCTGGCCTGAAACAGATATATTATATAAATGTCAACATATGTCTTTAAAAGTTAGCATTCTTTTAGTTATTATTGTAAGAGTCCTTATCAAGTTCGACTTTCATGGGGTCTGTTGTCATAGTAAAAAACAGCTTTTTTACAAGTTATACCATTTTTCCAAAAATAAAAGATTACAATACAGCTATTAAAAATGTACAATGTTTTTACCAAAATTACCATAGAAAGTACAAATACAAATACAACTCAATATACGGAATTTTTATAGCAGCGAGTTCGGTCTGTTTATCACTAACCGAATAAGCAATAAATCAAACGCTGCGCGGCTTCGAAAACCACGTGACACTCCTAAAGCGAGCGTTGTGTGCCACCGCCAAGTCCGAGCTCCAAAGGCACAACGGTGCATCCTGATTGGTCCAATTGGAAATGGTTTTCGCGCCAGTTTTCGCGACAGAGTTCGGAGCTTCATTCGGCAACGTGCGTGTGCATACCCATAGAAATAAGCCCCATTAATCAATAAACATTTACAATAAAATTTGTAACGACAAACCTATTTGAAGGCGTTTGATCACGCATTTACAGGTAACTTAAGGACTCTCATTTTAAGGGTAAGTTTTGTGCATTCATAACACTGCCTCTGCTTTTTGCTGGAGTTTATAATATGATAAGGCTAACTACTTAGCTGTGTTTTATTAACATTTCAGCGTTGCTTGAAATTATGAGATGCTTCATTCAAAGAATCTCATTTCATTGATTGGCGAACAAGTGTATCAGATTTTGTTTTTTTACGTGAAATAGACGCGTCAGTTGTTTTTGTGAAGCTGAAACGAGCGGTATTGTACGTATGTCTACAAGTATGTTTTGCAAATATGTTTAACTGGATAGCGGCATTTTAGCTATAAGACGAACTTTGAACACCCAGCGGTCACTGCATTGTTTCGCACTTGAGGAGGGCTTTCCTTGATTTGAACCTTCAGTTTAAATGATAATGCCATGTCCAATAATATTGAATATAGAAACATTTTCCCTACTTTATACCGGAGTATACAATGCAGGAGGTATACATTGTAACTGGTGTTAAAAAAACAAGAATTCAAGTCCACAGTAAATTCACATTTGTTACCAGACTAAATGTATATATTACCCGAAATGAAAACTATTCTGTGTACCCACAGAATATTAGTTGCAAGATTACAATCTTATAAATTCCGTCTACGCAGATGTAAACCTAAAAGTTTAAGTGGATGAAAGTATTAATATATTTCAATGCCTGCAGTAAATGCTTAATGCATTAAGTAACTGAATCACTAACCATAAATTACCCATGTTCCATTTATACATACACCTACATTTTCGGATATATATTGTTCGTAATTTAGGTACGTTGTTACAGCTAGTAATTTGAACATATTAAGAGTTTCAGATATATAATATAGATATAATTCCTGTGGCTAATACGTACTGGCAAATAAGTAATTCAGATGAAAACAAGAGAAATTAAGAAAGAATTTCCGAATTTTTTCCACAGCATGACTGAAAACGTAAAACAAACCTACTCTATGCTCCCGCTTACTGGTGAAGAGTGGTCAATACAGGCCTGTTAAGCTGCTTAACGACAAAAAGCTGTGAAATGGTACTGTTGTGCTCTGGGTGTTGCTTCGGTACTTGACGTTTTTATCTGTCTCTATTGCCCAGTTTAAAACTTACGCGCTGAGAAATTGTGACTTCACTGTCATTGACCACGACGGGCTCTAGGTATAAAAGTAGGAAAAACCAAAAGTAGTGACAAATTCTGACAATGAGATGTGCGAATGTTGGCGGGGCCACTGACGTCACGCCTGTGCGGGGAGCGGCTTCCCTTAGCAGTTGCAATAAGGCGCCTGCGTGAGGAAAGCACGGTGCGGTAGTGGGAACTCGGGTCATTCGGGTAACGTGCTGTCACCGTGACATGCGGGAAACCGTAGCCCTGTGGGCGAAGGTGCGTGGCAACTTGGTAATTTTACGCGCGGCGGAGGGACTATTTGACAAGCGGAGGGATCGTGCGGGCTCCCCGGGGGGTGAAGCGGCTGCAAAGCCATGTGCTTCTTTGTTTACAAAAACAGCGGCCAGTCGAGAACTGAGGTGACGCGCTTCTTGATTTTATTTCGTATTTTAGGGTAAATTCGCATAGAGTCGCAACCGCGCTAAATGCGAAACTCAACGTGGCTGGCCTATAGTCCAATTTAGACGAAAGGATTTGGATTTATTATCCTCCACCACATCACAACTACCACCAAAGGGGAGCGAGAGAAACTGATTGCCATGAGGCGAATGGATCAATTCTATACACCGGCCTAGAGGGATCTGTCGGGGAACCAGACTTGGTCGTAAGTAGACGTTTGGATGGGACGAGAAGTACACGTTCAAGGCCTGAAGATTGAAGGAAAGCGAGCTACCCCTGCGATGGATCCCAACAGTGGGTGAAAATGCGTCCAACAAAGAGATGGAGTGCACGGGGGCATTGTATAGAAGCTGCCTCACAGTGAGTCATTGCTTAGTGTTTTCTTCTATAGTTTCACAAGGGTGTGTGCGCCAGAGCTCCTGCTCCTACTGCTTTACTCCCTGCCTTTTTTTTCTAAATCAGAACCGAAAGTGAAATAAGGAAAATAAAGTGCCATAAAACGTATCGTATTTTAAGGCGCGGTAGTAATTGTAGGCTATCGTTTGGTTGTTAAATGCTTGTGTGTTGTGTAGACGCGTTTCAAATGTAATTATTAAATAAAGTTTTTGTTTTGATGCAGATAGCTTTCTTGGGTAGCCCGTTAACATTTGTTCCCAGTGCGTGGCGTGGATTTCCGGGGAGCGGCGCTGTTAACCTCACTAATGTTGCGACGTAAATTTGCCTCAACTCCCTTTTGCGCTTTTTAAATTTTACAGTATAAGTATAATTTTGTTGGATGGTGATACTGCGCACATTGCAGGCTAAAGCAAAACGGCGATGTTCGTCAGTTTCCTGCGGGGTCACGTGAGCGGGGGGTTTGTTTACAAGCAGTGCTAGCAAAGCGCGAGAGGCGAGTCGGATGAGCGTGCGGGCGATGCACCTGCAGATGGGGCGCGTTCCCCAGCGGCTACCCTAAATCCCTAGCATTAATGGCGGTTTGGAAAGCCCCCAAAATACACAGCGATTTGACAAGTGCAGTCGAAGATAACGTGACGCTCTCTCGGTTCAGTTGTGCCCCTTTGTCCGGTTTCGGTTGCTTTAAATCCCCCATCGCCAACTTAGTCCTGCCATATCAGATTTTTAGGCTTATATTGATAGTAGATACGAGACTTACTGTTAAAACATTTCTTTTGTAGTTTTGTTAATTTTTACAAAAATATTTAAATGAAAACCACCCGACTTCTTATACTGTGAAGGATTATTACCATAGTGTCCAAAAATCTAGGCCTGTTGTGTTATAAATGAGCTCTTCAAGGTTATCAGCCATTGTAGTGGCAGTGGTCCACCTTAAGAGGAAGTAAAATAGGGCGTGAACATCGCAGCAGTTGACTGAATGTCAGCAAGGTGTTCATTAGGTGACATTTGAGCCCCTATAACATAATCAAAATGCTGCTGTAGCACATTCCTGCAACAGACCTTTTTAGGTTTTATACTTTGCACTGGAGTATTTAGTTCGGTTGCTTTAGCAGTTTGACTGTGACGATAATTCTGGAAAAACTGGTCCTTACATATGAAGCCCATCTACTAAGGAAAAATGCAATTGTTCTGTCCTGTTCCCCTGCCACTCAATAATTCCAGCCTGATGTGCATTGCAGTGTCTGTTTTAGGTTCCTTGGTATAAAAAATAGGCAAAGTGGTTGTTGCAATATAACTTCCTGTTCTGTTTGAGCCAACCTCCTGTCAGCAGGCTTTTGCCCCTGGTGGGTGGGCCTTCAGCACTGATTGATGCATTTGCTTAGACTTCACAGTCGCGTTCAAATTTTATCTTAGGATCTTCCTGGCATGCTCTTAATGGATATAATTACAGGCTTCCACTGCCTGCCAAAACCAAATCTCTGCTGTCTGTACATGTTCTAACAATGTGATCCAAGAACATTTTGTGTTTATCAGTCTAGATGAACAAGTGAGACTTAGCAAGCGTTACAGTAATACCCATAGACTACAGTGATTTATGTGCCTTAATTCAGATTGTTATTATCTGTGAAGATAATTATGATAGGTATAGTATTTGTATGTGCCATAAAACAATTAATTTCTTGTCATTGTTTAAGGAAAAAACACATGTGCTAATTATACCCCATTGTCTCAAGAAGTGTTAATAAATGAATATGTTCATAGAAAATGATGTTCAGTGCAGGTGACTAGTTGCTATGTCATTTGGATGTAGCCTAACAGAGTAAATTGTTGAAGAATTAGCAGAACATGCATATGAACCAAGTTTAAGTTGGTTTTAGTGTTTTAATCATTCCGTCGACATCTGAGACTCGTGGTGTTCGTGTAGTGAAGAGCTGTGATGTAATGGAAAACCAGCATCCCTTTTTTCTTTGAAGGATCCCCGCTGTTGCCTTCCACAGGCAGGAACGTCGATGTCCCTGAACATGGCCAACCCCACATGGAGCGGAATGTCCTGACCTGCTGACCCAGGACCAGCCGGTGCTGTGTTCACGTTCAAGTGAGGTGAGAGGGCAGATGATCAAGTGGTGTATGAGATGGGTGAGTGGTGGAGTAATCTAATTTCTCCAGGATATTTAATAGTAATAGATGAATCATGGTGGGGTGACAAGTTCAGTGGTGACTACCCCCACAATGTATCCCTTCCTTTTATGTCCTGTTTGCGTTAAAGTGCTTACAGTGCAGGTAGCGGGGAGTTGTAGCCTACTGCAGTGGGAGCACTTCTTCGCGCATGGGGCACTGGACCACGTAGGAGTCCTTGTTCTCCGGCAGCAGCACTCTCCTTTGTTGTCATTGTTCTGCCTGCTCAAGGCCCCCACTGTGCAAAGGACTTCTGCAGTTTGGCGTTTGGGTGTCCAAAGTGCTGTTTATGCAGGTAGCAGAGTTACGGACCTACTGCAAAACCAGCACTTCACGACTCGCAGACAGCATTGCCTGACATGTTGATCCACTAGAGGGTGCAGCTAACTGATCTGCTGCAGTAGACTCCTCTACAGGGAGGAGCTGTAGCTTAACCTGTTGAATGCAGATGTGCGGTCTTGCTTTCATCAGTGTAATTAATGTTGTCTTGACTCTTTCAAGTAACTTCATTGTCTGTTTGCACTCTTTCCAGTTTGTCCTCTATTATGTGCCTGCCTTACGTTCTTTTATGTGTCTGTTGGTGAATGTGACACCTCGTCTGGTTCCAGTCAGCTTTGCAGGGTAGGCAGTCAGCTTGTGTGCATCAGAGCCGCTGTGCAAACCCATGCAAAACTGATTGTGGCTTTGAAATGATCATCTACCAGAATGACTCCAGAATGCCACCTGCATCCAAGAACAGCAGTAACTGACCGGTCAGCTTTTGATTATCTGGTTGCTTGTTTCTGAGTATTTGTGTAATTACGTTCCAAGCCCTTGTTGCTCATGTGAGGGTCTTATGCTTTCATCTTTATTGTCTCATCCAATCAGGTGACCGAGGCTCAACCAATAACAATGATTAGCTGGTGTTGAGAGGCGGAGACTTGGGCATTTGCCAGCAATCCCAGAGGGCATTGCACTTGTCTCGGTCTGACAGTGCCGGCACACTGCACAGCTCCTTGGGGTTGTGGGAGGTCGTCGTCTTTTGAAATGGTTGTGGAACCTAAACCCTCTCCTGTAGGAGAAATCAGATACTAGGTGAAAGAAGTAAATGTAATTGATAACCTGTTGATGAGTTTTGTCAGATTGTCCTTTTAATTCTTCCCTTTACTTCCTTAGGGCCCAGAAGCTGGTCAGTGTTGACATCTGTCCAATAGGAGCAGGCGATACTGGTCCTGCAATTTCACCTGCTCAGTTTCTCAGCAGTCCTGGACTGGATAAATAGGGAATGTCAGCCAGGTTGAGGGGGGAATTGCTGAAATTGTAATGCCTTCTCTCCTAGGAGGTGGGATTTGTTATGAACATGAGTGTGGCTCTTAAAACAGAGAACAAGTGTTACAAGGGGTGGGCAGCAGTGAAACTCAAAGCTTGTGGTTCTTTTTATTTGTATTCTGTAGATTTAACACACTACATGGCTTAAAGGTACACTTCAGAAAGTAAAAGTGGGTGAAATAATGCTAATTTCGGTTGATTTAAATTTTTATGATGTCCATGTCATTATCACAATATCAGATAGCCTTGGCTGTGTATGACTGTGCTGTGATTATGTGTCTCTTGTAGTATATGTGCACCACCATCCCCATTAATGATGAAGCACCATATGTGATGCTGTTTTCTGAAAGTAACTATATATATCCATAATGCAAAGATGAAAATTCGGTGTGTTAAAAGTGAAACCACGGTCAAGAGAGAACTGATGGTGCTGCACTCCGAACATTGACGCATTGCCCTCTACCACTCAACCTACATCTAACGCTCCAGCTAAATTTAAACTTGATAGTAAGTCTGATTATTTCATAGCACGTAACCAATTTTATGTGTTCCACAGTTTGAGCTTTTCTTTCTGGAATAGTTATTCCACATGTCAAAGCAGTATAATCTGTACGGTACCTCTGAATAAAATTATCATCACTGGATATTTGGTATGTATTATTAATGATTGTCTTCAGTTTGTTGTATCAGTAATAAATTTCCAAGTTGTATCAATAAACTAAACCTTAACTGGTTATCTGCCTGTGACAGATGCAGAGCTGCTGATGATGATCGATGTGGGAATACTGAGAAATACCCTTTTTTTCTCTCCAATTGGCCATGAGGAGTTGGGGTGACCCATTATTTGGAGCTGCTGTGTCTTAGTTCATTAAACACTCTGATCTCTCTTCTTCTTGCAAGTCTCAAAACCCATAATTTAACTGGTTGTGAGTAGATGCATGCGGTAACTGTCTTTGAAACAATTGTTTCAGTCTATCGTGGAAACCTTCCTTTCTACTCACCATGCAGGTGAAAATTCCTTTTTATACCATTTACCATTTATTTACAACATATGCTACATTCCAAGACTGGAAAGTAACTTGTACAGTAGAACCGTTCAATTCGAATGTCTGGACATCGAACTTGGACATCGAATGGGTCTCTTGAATTCCTTTTGACTTGTACCTTGACCGAAATCTTGGAACTCGACCATTCCTGATAAAACTTCGATGGGTCAAGGTGTGTTCAACTCTAACAATTCAGACCTCGAACGGGTCGGTTGAGAAAAATCTAACCAAAACTCGGAACAAAACAGATCTGCTGAAACTGGTACAGATTGAGACATGTCTGATGGGCTGACACAAAGGCAGACGGACCTACTGGGATGCTGGTACCTATGAATCGCTCTCGGTCTCATGGTACCTCTTGACTGAGTTCACCGTGCAAAAGCTGTGTTCCTGTGTCCAGTGTCAATTTTTTGTACTTTATCTACAGTACAATTAGTTATACAGTAATCATGGCCCCTAAGAAATTAAGCAGCAATAGTTTGCTCCTATCAGCTTTTTGGAACAAATTACGTTTGTGTTCCAAGGTACCACTGTATGAGGCATTTTTATGATTATTATTTTAGATGTTTTATAAATTTAAAAGTTCTATATGTTTTGAAACTACAACAATGCACTTAGCCACTGGATATTTTTCTGCTGTTATCTGACAGTAGGTCACATCAGTTGGTTATTTTGTAAATGTGCTTTTTCTGATCTGTTGCAGGTTGAGAATGTTTCATAGGGGTGCCTGGTGGAGACTGCTGTAGTAGCAGAGATCCCAGTATCTCAAACGGGTTGCTGCTGTAATGTAAAAATATTGGCAATGGCAACGGCAACTTTATTTATAACGCACCTTACACACAACAAGTTGATCAAAGTGCTACAAGTGTATGAGAATATGAATAAAAGCCAAAAATAAACTAAAAATCACATATAAAGTACATTAAAAGTAAGATAAATAGAATAAAATAAAAAACGAATTAAAAATTAAAAAACATGTCATGCTGTACCAAAGGCCAAAGTAAAAAAATGTGTTTTAAGAAGTGATTTAGACAGATATAGAGGATGATTTAAACAGATATAGAGGATGCTTGTCTGACATATAAAGGCAGCTCATTCCACAATTTAGGTGCTACTACCACAAAGGCCCGATCCCCTCAGCTTCCGACTAGTCCTGGGCACACTCAGAAGGAGCTGGTCAGCCGACCTGAGAGACCGAGGAGGTGTATATGGATGAAGGAGCTCAGAGAGGTACAGAGGGGCAACACCAGACAGACACTTATAAACAAATAAAAGCTATTTAAATTGGATCCTAAAATACACAGGCAGCCAGTGAAGAGAACGTAGAACCGGGGTGACATGCTCATATTTGCGAGTGCCAGTTAAAAGACGTGCAGCAGCATTTTGAACAAGCTGCAGTTGAGAAATAGAGGACTGACTCGCCCCAGAATAAAGTGCATTGCAGTGATCCAGCCGAGTGCTTACAAAGGCATGGATTACTGTTTCAAAGTGCTGTCGTGCCAAATGAAGAGTGCGGCCACACTCTTGCGTGGGTGCAGACACACACTGAACTAAGTTAATAGAGTCGATAAGGTTAAAAAAATCGTTAGCCATGGGTTTGTCTGGACAGCACACGTGGATATTAAAATCGCCAACAATAAGAAAAGAGTCATATTTTATCCTAACTTCAGCCAAAAATGCAGCAAATTCATTTATAAAATCCTTACTGTATTTAGGAGCTCAGTATTAGTGTATATCACTGTGCACAGCACAGGGGGCGAGCAAACTATTTCAAACAACAACAGTTCAAAGCTTGAAAAAAAAAACATTTGCAATGAAATCTGTTTACACCTACAATATACCGACTATTTTAGACAGCAGCAACTCCTCTACCTCGGCCAGATGTGCGCGGTACATTAAAGTAGCCTAACAGCAGTCCAAAGGCAAAAGTTCTGCAAAAGCACTAGACTCACCAGCAATTGCCCACGTCTCAGTTACACAGAGAAAATCCAAATCGTTTGACATAAAATAATCCTTTTATAATATCTTTATAAAGAAAAATAATTTTATTTGAGAAGAGCATAAGACGTTAACCATCTCACTGTTAAGCAACCACAAACAATCACATTACAAAGTATTAAACACCAAACATTCCAGTAAACAAACGTAGAGGAGAAAAAGTTAGTCGATATTACAAACTCCACAACCTTAGAGGGTCCAGAATGATTTTGACGCAGCAGATGCACATAAAGAGCGCAAAAAAGTATTGTGGAGAGTGTGTGTCATTTTAATGAAGAAGATAACAGTTCTTTTAAGATCGCTCTTCTGTTAACGCCCACTTCTGGTTTAATACTAGCAGCGGCACAGATAGGGAAGCCAACATTTTACATGACACTCACGGTTACATGTTAACGAAACATGCATTCCACTACAAACATTGCATGGTTGTGATGTTCACAATTAAAATAAATCCACAAATACATATATTTCCACTCTTTGAAGATATGTGCGGTGTGGTGCAAAGCATGCCGGCAAACTGCATAATTTGGTCCTGCTGATCAATCCCATGGTGTCAAATTATGTCAGCCAATCAAGGACAATGTGTGGGATCAGAACAAATGAAAAAGGTGTCTTTGGGGACCCTACACAGATGCTTCGCCAAAATGGTCATCACTGCTCATGTGATGTTTTTGCTTATGTATTTATATAATGACAAATTGTTGTCCTCCAATATAGGATGAAGCTAGTTAAGCTAGTTTTAGCTTCAGTTTGGTTTTTGGCTCTGAAAATCTTAAATCATACCTAGAGAGACAAAATTTTAACATTGGAGTCTTATCTGTGGGGCTAGAGTAATTAATAGGATATTTAGGATTTACCCAGTTGAGTATTGTTGGATTCTGTAGTCTCCAGAATGAATCTGTGTTTAAATTTTTTCTATAATATTTTGCTTGGAAGATTAAGCATTTTCTTTTTGTGACTGGCCCATGTTAACATTTTGCCCTCAGTGAAGCTGCTTGGGGACTACAAACATGGCGCCATGTACCATGAACTAGGGGGCCCCCAAAGCAGGATTTCTGGCTTAGCTGGGTAACTTGTTAAGGTGGTCTGGGCTAAATGTAAGTGAACAAAAACAAAGTTCTTTTAAACTAAGGAACCTTAACTAAATTTGACAAGTTATCCAGTTAAAGCAAGAAATCCAGATTTGTGAAACAGGCCCATTCTCCGCTTAGTTCAGGGTACTCCAGTTCAAATAGACTTTATCTTCGTTCATTTAGCCCAGACAACCTTAAACCCAACAAGCTGTTGACCAATCACGTCTTGCTTACAAATAGTCAGCCAACAGCGTGCCAGATAAGGCTGTTTCACACTCATAACAGACAGGAACAAATGTGTATGACTTTAGGGTTTACAAACGTTTTTACTATTAAAGTTTTATTCAGTTCACCTGTGAAAAAAATGCTAGTGGATTTACGGTTAGCAGAACTAAATTTAGCGGAAGCTAATCAGTCCGCTAATGGTTTTCAAAGTTAGGAAAACCGCTTATTCGCTGATGAAAAAGTTAGCTTTGCCAATTAGCGGTTAGCAGAACCCTGCCCACCACTGGAACTCTACATTTAAATGACCAGTAGGCACACTGATGAACAGAAATATAAAGAGGGGACTCAGGAAGATACAAAAACTGGAGAGCAAACTTTTAATAACATAACATAAATGAGTACAGGGGACATAAAATTGGCTTTTGGAGTAAAAAAAAAAAAACAGCTTCTTAACAGACATCTCTTCAAAATTTGCAACTTGTTTTAACGTGTAAAAATTTACACATACCTCTATTGCAAAATTATTGTTTATGCAAACTAAAGAAAACGCAATTGCTAAGATGTCCAATAAAAATCCAAATTATGCAGGGTCTTCCAAGGCAGGCAGCAAACTCTGAAGCAAAAGACTGGCAATCAGTGAATGACTGGGTACAAAACTGGGTATAAAGACCCTCTGTGGGTATGAGTGCAGCCCAGTGCTTCACTCAGACGCACAAAAATAAATAACAGCAGTATCAGCAACATGCCCAGTGCCTCCTCAGAAGAACAGTCCCCTCATCCTACGTCCGATGCCCTGTCGGTCATACAGCACATTGAACTTGTTGATGAACTGGTTCATGCTGTTGCAGGTCTTGGTGATGGTGCCCAGGTATGCCATGAGACCAACATCATTACATTGCTAGGTGGCGAGAGAGAAATGCAAAAATAAGTGAACTATCAATTCATTCCTCCATCCACAAGAGGTCAGAATTGTTTATATTGAGACTTACATCATAGAAATCTGTCTTGAACTTGAGGGTGCTCAGGACAGGTAGCCGGTGGCATAGCGCATTGGCCTCTCTCAGGATCTCGTGGTTGAAGGGAACCTCTCCTGGAAGAGGACATAATGGGTGAAGTGATGTTCTGGAAAGGGAAAACATTGAAAAACAGAACGCGTATCACTCTTACCTGCCTCCACAGCCTTGACATATTCCAGGATGACCTTCACTCGGCTGTGCAGCATTTTGATGGCGCTGTGCTGTGCTATGAGGTGCTCCGCCACTGGGAGGGGGAAGTCAAAATCAGAGCACTACTTATGCTGAGTTTATATAGGGTTAGTGTCAATGGAAAAGCACCACTATAATTAACATTAAATTCCACTATGAAACATTGAATTATCGTTTGGAGGTAAGTAACTAGGAACATGAAAAACATGGGGAAACAAGGGGGTTTTCTACCAGTGGAATTCTCTCCAGTGCCAGTGGAGGTCATTCGTGCCACATGGTCAACCCCAATACGCTCTGCTTCCTCTGTAGCCAGTGTGTAGGTCAGTTCGGCGAACAGCATAGTCGCCTGGGAGACACAGCAGAGACCAGCAGCATGCAAGGGGTTCGGTGAGAAGTCGAACCAAACTGACAGCAAGCAATGCATGAAAGGAACAGTAGCAATGTACCTCTTACGGTAAAGCATGAAGTCAGTGAGTGGCTAATTTAATGCGATACTGTACCTCTCCATTGATAATGTCGATCACAGACTCATACACGCTGACTGGTAGCTGTATGGAGAAACAGAGACTGTGACCAAAAAGAACCAATCTTCAGCTACATGCTCTGAATACTAGTCTGTTGATGAATGTTCATTAATGAAGGATTATTAAGATAATCCTTAATGCTAAAAAAAATAGGTTGTCTCCCTTTCTTATACAAAAGAGGTCAGAACACGATTCCCTGGGGATGAATGGGCTCCACAGAGGAGAGGCAGACAGCCCTCACTGATGGGAAGCAGGTGAAGTTTTTCCTTTGGACAAAATGTCTCAACTATATTTAATGAACCCCTTTTAAAAACACTGTATTTCTGACAACTGTATATCCACAGACTATAAGTACAAACTGCTAATAATCTACACTTAATTCCTTTTTCTAGAAAAAGTGATATTTGTCCCAGAGAGAGAAAAATGACAGCGGGAAGAATTAGACAGAGAGGGACTCACATCTGTATGCTTTGTCATGGGATTCAGCTTGAGAAACAAAGGGCTCTCAATGATTTCACACACCTAGAGTGAAAGGGACCAAGAACTGTTACCATGCTGGCCACTGCAATTAGAATTTGGTGATCAGTGGTCATTGCTGACACACCACAGCACACAGTGCACAACAACTAAATATGTCCTCTGCATTTGACCCATATGTGACATCATGACATAGCAGGGGCAGTTAATTCAGCACCTGGGGAGCAGTACCATGCTCAGGGTACCTCAGTGGTGCCTTGCTGGTCGGGGATTTGAACCACCAATCTTTCAATTACAAGTGTGCTTCCCAAACCATTAAGCCACCATTGCCCATAATCTATTATGCATCGTAATATACAAGTAGGAGCTTCGGCTTTAGGGAATGGAGACATACAGCACAACATAAAGCTTTAACTGCACAAACCTTTACTACTGGTATTGGTATTACCATATTTTGGGAATGTAGCAGACTTCCATAAACCACAGTGGTGAAGTGGAAACACGTCAAACTTCCAATATTAGAAAATTACAAAATGTTGGACTACTAGTGAACTGTAGAAGCCAAGCTAAATGGCAAGACAGGCAGGTGCTCACCTGCTTGTGAACGTGGATATCTGATTGGTCAGGAGGGCCGCCAGTCGTGTACCAACCCAGGAACTCCAGGTCCTTAAAGACCTGCTTAACTGAGAGAATAAGGGGAAAATGCAAGAGATGGAGAACGATACTCTTTACACCAGCATATGTCTGTACTAGTCCAGTGAACCCACCCATACAAAAAGTACATTAAGTGCAGTGAGGTCAGCCTTACACTGCTCCTCTTTGGTGTAGTAGTATTCCTTGTCGATGTGTGTTCTGTCATCCATTGTGTGGGAAAGGAGCTCAAAAGAGTTCATGACCTCAATGTTCCTGCCCTCCTGCTTTCCAATGAGGGCACCAATCACTGTGCAGGAGAAGGCATTGCAGTCACATACAATCTGAAGTCACGCAACCAGGCACAGAAACACATCATCACATACCCTGCATCGGCCGGCCCTCCTGAGAACGGATTCGGATCCAGTGGTCAGAGATGTTGAGGATCACAAGTGGATGAAGGGCCACCGACACACTCCCCGTCACCCCCGAGGCCATCACCCCGGGGCTGGCTGGATGGAGAGAGAAGGGCATTCAAAACATTGTCTCCTGTTAGATACCCAGTGGGAACATTAGAAATAGGGCCAACATCAGTGTCATCGGCAGAGATGGCACAAACACTCATTGTGGTGTTTTTAATGGCAATACTGGCTACTCTGTTAGCTAGCTTACCATGACAGAGTATTAATCTACCGTGAACTCAATAGGGTTTCCTGGCCCTCTGTGTCAGCTGAGAGGAAACATTTCTTTCTACTGGCAATGCAGCACTCTCATGACTGTGATTCATTACACTGTACGTACGTGCGTGCGTGGTTTGAAGTGCTCTCTGCCATGTTACCAAACATTTCCTGGTAGCAAGTAACCCATGATATTTATAACACCGTTGCTGGTTAAAGACTAAACGGACTGAAATAGCTTAGCTACAACTAGCCTGTCATGAGTTAACCGATAGGGTCACTGAATTTACGGATCTGTTTCTCAAAGTTCCCGTCGCGCATTAATCAACTCACGTGCTAACAGCCTTTCTGGTGAAGCATGACACCAGCCAGAATGATTAGCATTTACATAACAAAGAATCTTTCACCTGATTCTCCGTCCACCTCCATTCCCCCTCCGTTACTGGTCGCCATCTTGTACTGGAACGAACGGACTGCGCATGTTCGGTAAACAAGACCATTTTATGTATGCCAGCAGGTGGCGGCCTTCAGCGCTTCCCGGCCTATCAAACGCTTTCTGCAAAAATCAATCTTTACGTACGGCATCGTTGCAATGCCAAGGGGCAATTTAGAAATGATTAATATTGTATAATTATTTTGAAAATCCACTAGCAAAACATTACGTTCTCCAAAAAAAAATTTTAAATAATAAAAACGGAAACAATATATTTAATAGAGGCTTTGCAACCGCAAAATACCACTGGTAGCGTGGCCGAGCGGTCTAAGGCGCTGGATTTAGGCTCCAGTCTCTCTGGAGGCGTGGGTTCGAATCCCACCGCTGCCATTTAATCATTTTTATTTAACCGATCCTTTACCTTTCTAATAGAAATTTTGTAAAGATATTTCATGCTAGACTGCCCTGCGCAAATTCAGATAAAAACCTTTCGTGGTTTAGGGAAACTTCTTTAACGGGCTTCTTACTACTGTTCTTCATGAAGCATGGATGATTAATGCCCACAACACAAATTGCTGGTTTTCGCAAGTCTCAGATTGGAGGAGATTGGAGACTCTAAAAGGCACCGCTGGGATTCGAACCCAGGATCTCCTGTTTACTAGACAGGCGCTTTAACCAACTAAGCCACGGCGCCGTTACGAAAACACGCAGACAAAAGCGGTACCTTTACTTTACGTACTTTTTTTTGACTGTGAATGCATCACCCTTGCAACTAAAGTACTAAAATGCAGCTAAATATTTACATGCCTTTTTTCTCGAGCATTGCAGTTATCTTATGTTCATAGATGTATTTTACGGACAATATCGCTGTGTGACTACCAAGGGTTTCTAACTAACACGTGCAGAAAGAATAAGCTTACAAATTGACCACGCTACCACTCACTTACAGGTGCCAGCCATCGGGATTTGCTGCATTACAGACAAGAGCAAAATTCATATTTCTGAGTAAAAGAGAGAAACCAAAGAGAATGGGGATGGAACCCACACGTGCAGAGCACAGTGGCCAAGGGCCATGGGGAACATTCCTTTAGCAAGAGGGCGATAGAAGATGCTGGAAAAGGGAACTCGACGAGGATGGGATTCGAACCCACGCGTGCAGAGCACAATGGATTAGCAGTCCATCGCCTTAACCACTCGGCCACCTCGTCTGACGCACAGAGCCCCCGGAAGTCCGTCATATGCCGCATACATAATTTAACTGATTTACCGCCAATAAATATCGGCGTATTACAACTATCATAATCCCAGGAGCGAATTGTCACATCCCCAATCATCGTTCCCTGAAGCAACAGCTAGTTATCGATACATACTTGACTAACACTGTAACAGTACGAGCATGTGACATATATGGTCACTGAGCATAAATAACGCTACATTAAGCGCCAAAATAAACCCCCAAAACAAAACTTAAACGCTGTTTCTTTTCAAATCAAAAAACAACGCCGCACAAATAATTGTTTCATTATCACAACTTCCCCTATTAAAGCGAAGTACCACAGAAAAAAAAGAACTGCTCAAGAAAAGTATTAGAGAACACTTTAAGTTATTCTTTGTAAAGGTATCGTCAGTGATAATCAGAATGGGGTTTTAGAAGTGTTGCTGTTCTCCTAAAACCAAGAGCGGTTAATCACCAACTCATTTAGCTCCATTCATCACGTTCTGATACTTCATTTCTGAAGTAACAGGTAAGGATATACCTCACTGACGATACTGCAGAAACGCTGTAAGGAAACATGTATTCCTCTAAATATATTATTTCCATCACGGTTGATTTTCTTTGACTGCTACCTACTTAAATAATTTCCTCTGGGGGTGCTACACACTTCTACAGAATATCAGTTTTCAATTTTTTTTGGAAAAGAGACATGACTAAAGACAATAAAGAACTTATTTTTCTGTTTCCTGTGTATCCGAAAGGCTGTGCGCCTGTCTTATTACCATGCTATAGGATTGCAGATGTTTCTATTGGTTTAGCAAATCCCGTTACTGAAATTCTAGGGTTCACACTAAGTTCAGTATTTTCCATTATTTCTTCGCCAGTGTATGCAGAATTTCCGCATTTCCCTTTTTTATGTTATCGTCACTGGATAAAGTGTAGTTTACAAAAGTAAATGAAGTGAAATTAAAGCAAAGATCTTCGATAATCTCGCGAGAGGAGACAAGACCCTAGTCCAGTGTGCCTTCCCACAGAAGTAATGGCACCCTTTGTTTTGCTTGTTCCGCTCGCGTTTTAACTATCTGTAAATTCTTGCTGATTTTCTGTCTGTAATTGGGATTTGCTAACACTGTCATTCAGTTAATCTGTTTGGTGAATGTTAGATTTACCTAGCTTATCAGTCTTCTCTGTTTAGAACAGATTCTGTGAGTTTTTTTTAGCAAGTTTTATTCAGCTGATGAGAGCCTATATAATAAACCATTTTGGCTCAGCTGTCTGTCTTACATAATCATTAATGAACATTATACTTATAATTATCAAACGATAATTGAGAATCAAGCATTAAATTACCGCCTGGGATACTCGAGGATAAACATACAGAGTGCATTAGCAAATGTAGGTATATTATAGTTATAAAATTATTTGCATATTAAAAGTATGCATACTGCAATTCAGAAAACATTGACCAAGCGTGATCCAGTCATTACAATTTATGTAATATGAAAGGGGTGTGTTTACATATGCTGTGTATATAGACATATAAAGTGCATATATAGCACAGCATAATGCTAATATTGACTACCTATGACTAGTTAGACAACCCAGACCATTCATAACTTATGCATTACAGGTTTGCAGTGAGCCTAATGTTTCTGTGTTTCCAGTATATTCTTCAAAAAGTCGTCCACAACAGCAGGTCAAAATCCAGATACCCATAGCCATTATATTCATTCTTAAAGCCAACCCACATGAACCAATCTGGCCAGGCTTGTATTTTTTTTACAGCCAATCACAGCTCTGAGCCCCCTGGGCCGCATGGAGTCACGTGCATGTGGTTCCGGTTGAGGCGGGTCATATGAAATGTCATCGTCCAATCAAAGCAGCGGTTGTGGCGTTTGAAAAAGTTGGCGGCTGAGCGTGAAGGAGGACGGTGGTGTTTTAGTGGGTCAAAATGCAGGTGATTTTTTTCTTTAATTATTAAATCGCTTCGTTGTAAAGTGGCTTTTGATATGAGCGACAGACTGAAATATGTGTGCTTTCTGGAAATATCGAATAGACCATGGTATTATAACTTACTCGGTTGAATTTCATATTAGGCCTAATGACACTTCGATGTATTTGTTTAGTATCTAGTTTTTTGTTGAAGTGAACAACTACAGATACAATATGTCTAGGCCTAATAAACCGTTAACCACTGACTGGTTTGACAAACTAGTCAGGGTTCTGTTATATTAGCATTACATTCGGTTTGTTAACTGTTAGAAACGTCGGCTGTGTTATGTTTTCGGGATGTGTGATCGTGCCTAGCCGGTTAGACGCTGCATCTAATTGACGTGATTACATTGCTAAATCTGGCGAACATGAGTGAATTCTCGAGCCATAGGTCTATGGTTTAAATGTGGTTAATGAGGGCCATTTGCCCCCCTAACGTCCTGCACTCCATTTGTGTTTAATAAAAATAAGTAATATGTTGCACCTTTTTCCTGTCGATTTGTACCTTAATTTTAAATCACTCATGTGCTTCTGTTCCTTATAGAACAAGGAGAATTATGACCCAAAAGCACCTCAGAGACAGGTATGTTTGGCAAGAGGGGGGACCCGGTTTTATTCTCTTGTTCTGTCTTCCTGCTGAACGCCTCCAATTGCTTGGTTAACGGTCTTCCTGCTATGGGGCTGCTACTCCTAGCTCACCACTCCGGTTGGTCTGGCTGGACCCCAACGTGTGCTGCGAAATCCTGGTGCTGAGGTCAGCAGTAAAGCTACGCTCGCAGGTACGTGGTAAGAATTTATATGAGAAGCATAACGGAACATCTAAAGATGTGAAATTTAAACAATAATAACTTTAAACTGCTTTTGACTTAATAACTGGCTGAACCGTGGAACAGTGTGTCTTCGTTTTGGTTATACGAGATATTCATGTGTTCTCTGAAAAACTAAACATTGTGCTCTTTTGTCAAGTTTCTCTGGCCATCACGTTTGTTGAATTTCTTGCAAATGAAGTGTCCGGCCTGTGTGCCAGTGATGTCCCAAAAATGTTTTCCTCGAAAATCATCCATTCTCTAACCACGTATTTTGATCAGGGTTGTGGGGCGCTTGTTTTCTGGCAAATGTTTAACTGAATGTCTTGGAACACACAGTGTTATAGTGTATCCAGGGACGGGCTACCTTACCTGGAGACCCTAGGCTGACTTGAGTCGGGGGGAGGGGGGCATAATTGGGCCATTTGAGCTTGTTTTTGGAGTTGAAAAAGAAGAGAGGGGATTAAAAACGATGGAACATCAATAACATACTGATCAATGCATAGGATGCCAGCAATAAAACTTACCGGTCTGGGTGGGGGCGATAGTGCCATCGGTAATATTTGCCCATCGAGGGGAGGGGAGGGGAGGGGAGGTGTAACACCAGCAGATCGATAGGCCAAATTTAACACATTTAGCTGTTCCCTCTTTTGCTAAGGTTAGTCTTGAATTTTTGCATACGATTGTTAAATTGTGTGTTCTTCATATATGTCTACAATTTATCTATGACCCTAGCAGTATAATATCAGACATGGAAGATGTAATGTTACACTGGTACTTCGTATATCGTTCAGCTGTGTCAGGGTTTGTTTCTCATTTCTTTGTGCCAGGGCTTACTTCATCTTCTGTATGGTGCCTTACACTGTGGGTGTCACAGCGCTTGAGGCTGTATCATTAAAATAGGCTATTTCTGGTTCCTGCAGGCCCTGGAAGAGTGCCGAGCAGTGACTCCCAAGCCCAGTGAGTATCAAGGGAAATGGTGCCCTTTAATTGGATCTCTAGTATTGGTCTTAGGATTTTCTTATTGGGGTTTTGTAGTCTTGTTTCTGATTCTTTGGTGTAAATTAACTGGGTTTATGGTTTTGTCTGTGAACCAGGTGCTGGCCTAAGCTGTTCCTGATTTCAGTGACACGACACTAAATATGGTCACAGCTGTACCTTTTTAGCTTACCTTTGTTTACAAATTGGAAATTTTGATAAGGTGATTTTTATCTTTGAATTCACTCCAGTTGTCTTCTCCTCTCCTCAACCAGGAAATTCTCCATCAAGAACTTTGATATTGGCCGCCCGCTTGGCAAAGGCAAATTTGGGAATGTGTACCTGGCACGGGAGCGGAAGTTGAAATTCATCGTGGCTCTGAAGGTTCTCTTCAAGTCTCAGATGGAGAAGGAGGGGGTGGAACACCAACTTCGGAGAGAGATTGAGATCCAGTCCCACCTTAGGTTAGGCCTGAGGAAGTCGGGAGTCGATTTACTTGGCGTGGTGGAATTAAACAGGCAAACTGCTGATGCCTGACTGTTCTGGGCAGTTATCTCTACAAATAGATTTCCTGTTATATTTATGTTCTTCTGTTCCCTGTTTATCTTAAGGCACCCCAACATCTTGCGCTTCTACAATTACTTCCATGACCGCACACGTGTGTTCCTTATCTTGGAGTATGCCCCACGTGGTGAGATGTATAAGGAGCTGCAGCGGTGCGGCCGTTTTGATGATCAGCGAACAGCTACGGTAATGAAGCATTACTCTGGGGTGGGGAGGGGGTGCATTGTTGACTCTGGCTTCCTACTCATGTTTTAGGCAGATTTCCTTGAGTAGAAATTGGAAACTAGATGGGTGGTATCCTGGAATTCCTAGACCACAAGCTCATAAATCTCATATGAGCATGTGTACATGCTGTGCACTGCGGAACAATTATTAAAAATAAATAAATAAATAAATGCTAACAATCCACTGTAAGAGTAAGGAGTAAAGAACATTCTAATTCATCCATCCATCCATCCATCCATCCATCCAGGGTGATGGGGATCGTGAGTGAGGGTGTGCTTTTGTTACCTGCTCCTCCAATCTCCCCATCCCCCGCAGTACATGGAGGAGTTGTCGGATGCGCTGCAGTACTGCCACGAGAGGAAGGTCATCCACCGAGACATCAAACCGGAAAACCTGCTACTGGGCTTCCGGGGCGAGCTCAAGATTGCAGACTTTGGCTGGTCTGTCCATGCTCCATCCATGCGGTGAGGACACCCCTGGTAAAAACCTACTTAGTCTACTAAGAAGGTATTTATATCTGCTTTCCTTTAGGAAGGTAAGGTACTTACTGTTTTATTACTGGGGACAAATGCTTGATCATGTCCACCAGGGGGCTGTTCTTCTGCCATCTTCCATTTAAGATGCTCCAGTGTCTGTTCCCTAAAACTCACACTCCAATGGCTGATGCTACAGCTACACATTGCCCTTCTGACCCCATGCCCCCACTCCTCCAGGAGGCGCACTATGTGTGGCACACTGGACTACCTGCCTCCTGAGATGATTGAGGGGCATACACATGATGAGAAGGTGGACCTGTGGTGCATTGGGGTGCTCTGCTACGAATGCCTGGTGGGGAACCCCCCCTTTGAGAGCGCCAGTCATGCAGAGACCTACAAACGCATCACCAAGGTGACTGGACGAGGGGTTTTGAGTCGGGGCTGTTTTGGTGAAGTTGCTGGATTTTTGAGTCCCAGGGTTACAATAATATTGCAGTAAGAATTCACAAGTGTCAATTGTAGAAGAACCAAAACCCAGTCAAATATATCAGCATGTCCCTTCCCTACTAGACCTGTTGTGTCACTGGTTGTGAATGTGAATGATACAGGCTTTGCAATGCAAGTTCTTTGGTACTACAAGCACTCCCCTGATTAGTGAGTTAGAATTAACTTGTTCTGAAGTGACACTGATCTTTTCATGAGGGTGGCTTACTCAAACGTACGAATGGCGCATAACTGCAGTGACTCGGGCAACTTGTAGTAGTTCGATTGTTAAAAACGTTGCTGTAAGGGCATCAAATGCATGGAAATTGTTGGAGTAGAGAATGAACACCCTGGAAAGAATTTAGATTTTTAACAGTAATGTCCATAGCAAGCACTAACCAATGAGGGAAATAAGATCGATCGTAGCATGATGGAGGTAGTGGTTAGTACAGATGTCACATGGACATTTTGAGTGGGTTATGTCAAAGATTTTAGCGAATGTGTCGTGTACCATTGTGCATCTTTTCCGTGCAAGAATGTATTTTTGGTTAAACCTCCATGCCGGTGTGCTGCTCTGGGGCAGGTGGACCTGCAGTTCCCCAAGGTGGTGTCAGAAGGTGCACGGGACCTGATCTCCAGGCTGCTGCGCCACAGCCCTTCTGCTCGGCTTCCACTACAACACGTCACTGAGCACCCCTGGGTGCGTGCCAACTCCCGCCGCGTCCTTCCGCCCGTCTACAACCCCAAGAATGCATGAGGGCACACCTACTCTGTAGGGCTAGTGCCCAGCGATGGGCTTCTTCACGGCATGTGCTGAAGGGACCACTGACACTTGCAGATCCTCCCAGCAAGTGGTTCACTTGATGCTGGAATCACTATAGTACTTTGAGCTGGATTTTAACTGTAATGGGTAATTGCTCCCACCAGCTGGCTTTGTGTGGTATTAACCATGCTATCCTGCCTTGTGGCTAATCACATGCCACAGAGAAGCCAAATGGACGCCTGTTCTAAATGTTTTGGATTGGATTTGGTTTTTAGCTGGTTTCGTGTGTGTGTGCGCGCCTGTATGTGTAATTTGTGGATTATGATTTCTGGTGTGCGTCATGTTTGTGTCGTGCATTTCTGTTTTTCTCTCAGATCTGTCTTGCTTTGTAAATAAAACCCATAATTCTTGCTTGTATCTACCCTTCCGTAACACATAATAAAAATATTTCCATTCGCTACAAGCTGTGGGTAAAATGCCTACTTGACAGATTCCTATACACGGCTTTATAATCTTATGAGAAACGGGTACCTTTTCAGTAGATCACGTGGAGTTATCACATAAGCGTCTTTCATTTACATTAGAATTTTTGTTGGTTTTCTCACCAGTACAAGCGTACGAATTGGCCTGTGCTGTCCGTTTAATTACAAAGGCGGCTGAATCAGTCGAGATCTATAAATAACTGGGTCATCTTTTTTTCTTGCTTCGCCTAACGTATCGAATTTGCATTAAGTTGCAATCCGCAGAACCTGCTCATTTTTCGTCGGAGCTGTGGGTTTTTCTCCCAGGATTGTTACATTGCTTTACATCCAGCTCATTAATACCCGAGGCCACGTTTAAAACCTAAGCGATGTAATAACCAAACAACTACGTTTTGAAATCGTGTCTGGCACTGCGCGTATCCTTAATCTTAATTGCCTTTTCAATAATTGCCTTTTCTTGATTGTTATACATGTGTATAGCCTTTACTTTCAGGTAGGTTCCATTAAGATTGGTAATCGGGTCGATAAATGCATTTTTATAATTTGCACTTTACCTTTTTAGAATTCAGTGTGATTGCAGCGCATCTGCATACTGATAATTAGGGCTGTTTTGAATTTGGGTACTACTTGAATGCATTCTGTACGGACGGCACAAGATAATTTGTAATATGACCGAATGGCTGGGCGTTTAATTCCTCATTATTAACTTCTGGTGGATATTTATTCTCTTGGACCCTCGTCTCTTTCCACTGTCAGTTCAGATTCATGTTAGACAAACGAACGAAACTTCCAGGCGGGTATCCCTACGCAGGGGCTCACCGCCTGTCTGTCGCTGAGTGGGCGTGTAGGCACGCGCGATTTCGTGACTGTCCAAATATGGACATTTCTTCCGGCACATGACAAAAATACATACAATTCTATGCGAATGAATTAAAGCGATGTAATGGTACTCGCAGAATCAGTCAAGTTTTAGTGTATACTTCGAATTTTTATTCAATTAAAGAAAAATATAACGGTAAAGTTTGTGCGATACACGTATTATTGTCGTAACAAAACCATTAACATGACCAAGTATTTAAATCATGTTAGAAACAGGAAGACAGTCAACAGTAATAGAGTAGATGTAACAGAATAAAGAACAATTTAGCCAAGATAAAAGTATAATTCTTTATTTAAAAATATTTAGCGACGTTTTTGCATAAGGTAGCGTGGCCGAGCGGTCTAAGGCGCTGGATTAAGGCTCCAGTCTCTTCGGGGGCGTGGGTTCGAATCCCACCGCTGCCACAATATTTTTACATGACCTTAATTAGTGTTTTAGATATAGGGTTCATGGGAAATTATGCTAATCGTCGTGTCGTAAAATAAAATATTTAATTACGTTAGTTATTCGTCTTTAGCTCAAATTCAAGTGAATTAACCTTTTCTTTACAGTATTAACTTGGAGCTGTCTATAAAGTACAATTAAATTTCTACAGTAATTGAACGTTGTCCGGTCGACGAGCGTCACCCCACCCCCCGTTTCATGGGCCGCCATTTTGTTGATATCCCAACACCTGCAATTATCCCATGTGATATCATATCAGAACAACAAATGCAAACCGTGATTTAAAGGCTGATGTATGCATGCCATTGTATTCTAATATTTACCCAGAAGTGTAAGAAATATCGCCGTATTATCCATAGCCAAGCTTTTTTATGCTTTTCCCATCTTTGGTTGCCACCCTCTCAACCTGAAGCTTCCCGGATGACGAATGACGTCAGCAAGCCATCTTTGTTCCCTTAGTCCACACTGCTATTTTTTTTATATATATATACACAGTGACACGGCGAAGACTAGCGGTAGCGGTTCTCCTATAATAAATATCCATAGACGAGGTGCGGCGTAGGCTGTGAACTGAACGCAGAAAAAAAAGGAGAACGCGTCCTACTCATAATTATCACTCCCTCATTTAGAATTAACAGAAGAGAAAAGCAGCTGACAAGAAGACTGGGACCAAAAAAGACAACCCACACTCCATCCTATTAAACATATACTCTTCTAGGATTTATATACGTCAATAACCCTACAATAAGAGATGTGAGTATACTGTAAAACGAGGCAATTTTATTGCGTTCGTGTTTGCATGTTTTTTAGAATTAGAAATGTTTGTCTTTTGCTAAGAAGTATTATTTTCTTTTAGGGTAATAAAAGTGAAAATTAATTGAGCAATTCACTGCTCACGTCTTAGTCTGAGCCTAATAATTTTGCTGTTATTATTATAACATTTCATATTAAGATGTCTCGTCCTGGTGATCCTTAAATGTATCAATAGTCTATAAATAGAACAGTTCAGCTGGTATTTAGCGAATATTTTAATTGGTTGTTTATTTCACCTTCTATTTCATAAATTATATTGATTTATTCACGGTTTTAGATAAAGATTTCCCAGTTGTAATAAACAGATATATTTGTGGCACTGTCTTGAAACATGTTTTAACAGAATGGGCTGGTTTGATTTGAATTGATTGGCTTTTTCTTTTGTTAAATCAAAGTAATTCGACACTTGTCTTTCTAATGAAAACACCTCATGTACATTGCAGCAAGTAAAATGGCTGTAAGGGCGTATATATATAGTTATATGCAATGTGTCTGCATATGTAATTATTGCATTTTAATATAACGCATAGACTATGTATCGATTTTCTTTTGTTCTGCATGACGGGTGTTGGTTCCACAAAAAATAACATTTCGCTGGAACGAAGGTGGCTGTTCTTATTGCTACGCGATATTTGTAAAAGAGATGGGGGAGGGGTGTGGTGTTTGTCTCTCATCCCTGTTACGAATTATCTATTAGAAAACTAAACCAAATTGGTATTTTTCAGTTAGACTGGAAACTATGAGAGCCTCTAATTCGTGTCTTATTCGTGCTGGTGGTGCGAGGTCTGGGCGCTGCGCAGGTGTTGTGTGGAGCGAGAGAAAGATGGCTGTGACGGGGGTCGGTCCTCCGTATTATATATGTACAGCGGGCTTCACATTACAACAGGCGGTTCATATCCGTGTGGACGGAACCGTGGACCATTTAAACCCGTCGGAGTGCATGCATGTGAGGCCTTAAATCGTTTCCTGCCTTAAAACGACATGCATTTGATACTAATGGTGATGACGGTGGTGTTTGTAATTTTAAGTGACGGAGAGCAATTCTGCCGCTAGGACAGCTGACAGAACCTATTGGAAAGGGAAGGATAACATGGGAAAAAGCAGTTGAGAGGGATTAAATATGAGGTCTCTGTATGCATAAAGCTGTCCCCTTGTTCTGCAGGTTCGGTATATCTAAAGGGCAATACTTTGGCATAATATGCTCCATAAGTTGTGCTTCTATTGAATTGTTTATTTTGGAGTGGCTTCTTTAATGGTTCTCTTTTTCATGTCATATGGTTGAGCATTATGTTTCGGGGTGTTGGCCTAGCTGTTGAGGATGTCAATTTCACAGCGTTCAAAATAAATTTAATAAAATCCATGCCGGTGCTGTGGAGCTGTTCCAGAAATTAGGTCAGCTGCATTTAAACACCACTTTTCTTTGTTTAATAACAAGAATAGGACGCTGTTTGTCTTAAATACAATAGCATGAATACGACATAGTTCGGGTAGTCACACGTAGTCTTGCCATCCAATTCCTAATTCATGCTTCTGCGTTCGTCTTTGCCATAGGTGGATTCGGGACATCAGTCGTTTATTGCTCTTGCTACCCTGGAATAATGATTAAATATCGTGCCGATAACAAACAGTGTTGATTGTCTGGCCTGCAAGCACATGACATTAGAAATGGACACCTTCGAAGTAGGCCTCGCCCTGTTCAGTTGCTTGTGTCCGTCAATTTACCATTTATTTCTTAAGCCAATTATGCACATTATTTCCTCTTCCCATTATTATCACTCTTACTAGGACAACTAGTAATAAATGTGCTAAATAAGATTACTTTGCTTTTATCCCTCTCTCTAGGCCTATATGTGCTATTGCAAATATTTCCGATCAGTTTTAGTGTGGCATTATAAAGAACTATATAGCAACATTGCAAAATAAAACACACTATATCGATATGATATATAAAACAGGATTCTTTTAGAGCTGTATTGAAAACAGCGTGGAAATATTAACCCGACCTATAACGGTCAAGGACGTGCAGCTTATGAGTTACGCCGTCAGCCGTCAGTTCAGGGACAGATAGGTTGTTGGATTGCAATCGCCGATGCGTGACAAATTGCGGTAGTGTGTGAGCAACTTAATCAAACGTCTTGTCTTTTCTCACCAAACGCCTCCAGTCGTGAGGACATATAATAAGAGCAGAGGCGGTGTCAGGTATATTTCAAATGACAGTTGGAGAAATGTTGAGTCGATTCTTGAAATAAATATTTATATGTGTCGATAACTGCGCGTTTGTTCTCTCTGTCTTTATTGGTTAGCACTGTTTACTCTGATGTCTTCGATGATGGCTGCCTACCCGGTTGAAGGTGAGAAGGGACAGGATAGGATTTTAAGTCTAAAAATAGAATAGTATATGTAAACGACACGGAAAAAACACGCCAGTACCACCAAGAACGAAGGCTGCTGTTGTGCAGGGTCGAACCCTAACGCTCTAGGGGACTCCAAATCCTGTATTCTCTCTTTCTTGCTACATCGCACGAACTGGTTTATCAGTTTATCCACACTAGTGTTCAAAACGCATACAAACAGATCAAGGATTATTATGAAAGGATTAGTGTGGTATTTAGTAAAGGTGACCTTTATGCAGGGTTCTGTCGACACCTAATGGTTAGAGTTGGGCATTACAGCAGGTATAATACTCACCCCCCCC